TATCAAGTGCTTGTGAAGCACAGGTGAAGGAGCATGAGCCAAGAAGGAGAGGATAGAGCAGAAAATTTTCTCAGCAGGAAACTGGGTTGCCCTGTGCCAATTAATTTATCATTTTCTTTTATTTGCAAACAACACCCCAAAATGTTTTTGGCGAATCCCTGAAGTTCTGTTATATTTGAGCACAAGCTACAACTGCAAAAATCTCCTGAGCCAAGTTCAGCAAACAGAAAGCACACACAGCTATCATTCCTTTAGGATTTTTTTCCACTTGGACCTTTCTGTGTGATGCAACTCTGCAACAACCTTTAGAGAGTGCAGTTGCTACAAGGTCTACACAATCCCTTCTGGGTCACTAGGAAAAGCCTCACCATCTGTCTCAGGCATGGAACTGCTTAGAATAGCTCCCAGGCTCAGCTTCTACTATCCAGGCACCTCTCCCTGCCTCTGCACCCTCAGGACTTCTCCAGTTGACTGCATTGCTCCCAGGGAAGGACACTTTTCTACCCTCCTTCATGGCTTTCACCATGCCCTCAGTGCAGCAGTCAGGACAGCATTGCTAGAGCGTATATATGCAGCATTCTGCATCTGTGCTAGTTTTAATCCCTATACTTTGTTAGTCACTAAAGAGACAGTCCAATTTTGTCAGCACATTCTCCGGCAGCTCCATTTTCCCCTTGTGACGAAATGTGCCCCACAAGGGAAAGCCCTGGCAGTCTCCTTCACTCTGGGCCCAGTGTGCCCATCTCACCTTCATTTCATAATTTCCACCAGAGCATTTGCATTTTATGCATTTGCAGTGAGCACAGTGACAAGTCTCCCAGCCAAGGTCTCTACGACTCAGTGCTGGGGCTTCAGCCACCTGCCCCACAGGTGCAGGCCATGGAATCCTGGTGGGTCCCTGCATTAGGGGGCATCCCAGGGTAGGTTGCATTCTGGCCTGCATCATGGTGCTGAGCACTGACACCTAACTGCACCCCCAGTCACATTACCCCAGACCTCAGGGGCAACTGGCTTTCATGGATGTCACACTCACCTTTCCTGGTCATACGAGGAGCTGCTTGGTTTTTGCAAGAAAATGGGTCACTGCTCCTCACAGCCAGGCATCAGCTCTGCTGTAGGGCTCTCTTGTTCTCTACCTCATGCTCATCGTAGACCAAGTGATATTTTTCTTCTTCTTCTAGACCTGTTGGCAACATGAGTGGCAAATAGTCCCTGTATGAGAATGGCAATAATTGCTTTCACTTTCAAGGAGATTCCAGTTCCACCTGGTGACAAGCAAAAGTAATGACCAGAACCTTCACTCATTCAAAATATATTACATATCAACATATACCAAAAATCCAATTATATCAATGACATCTTTTTTTAATCTTTTAACCTATGTGGAGACCTCAAAAGCACTGACTTATCACAGAAATCTACATCTGTTTTGCCAAAAACCCTACAAAACATCCTTTCGTTATTCATAATTGTGACCCCAAGAGGGACTGCTGTGATCAGTTGCCATGACACAGACTAGGGATACAATTCCAAAAGCTTCCTCAATTAGTGAGCAAGAGTATTTCTTTTAGAAAAGCAACTACTCGTTTAAAAATTCCTACTGCAGGAGAATTCAACGGAGTTCTTGACAAGCTGTTCTTACAGTTAAAATATCAATCTTTGAATTTGTCTAATTTCATTAACAGACACCAAATCTTACCTTTGCTAGTTTAAAGAGCTTCTGCCACCTTATTTCTGTCCCCATAGGTATACTGAGATTCTCATATGACTGAGCCTTCTCTTGGCCATTAGAGACAGGCTGAGCTCATTGGTGCACTTCCTAGAAAATGCATTTTTTCTAGTCCTTCAGATATTTTTGTGGCTTTTCTTTGTAGCAAGCTTATTTTTTCAGTATATTCCACAGATTTCTGACACTGCAATGGGACAGTGTTCTAGCAGGATGGTACCAGTACAGCAAACAGATGAATTACAGCATCTTTGCCTCTACTTGTCTCTGTATCTGCGATTGTTGTACCTTCTCTTTGATTAAACCTTTCATTGGAAACTGTTGCTCAGGTCCAACAAGGTCCCAAATCTCCTCCAGTGTCTTGTTTGCTGTAGCAGAGTCACATCTTTTTTTCTCTCTTCTTTGCTCCAAGACGTGAAATATTACAATGGGCCATATCAGAACAGATTTTTCATGTCCAGCTTACTAAGCACAGAAGAGCCCTGTGTGCATGTCCCCTTCATTTAATTGTGCTACTTCTACCAGTGCAGCTGATTTGGGCATAATCTCTTCATATTACACAAAATCAACATGAACTTTCCACAAGAATGGACAGTGAGATCACTTGAGCTTAAACCTAAAATTGCCTGGTTTAGATGAAAAAAATGGAAGTGTATGTGGAGTAGCATGGAGAATATTTACTTTACCTTTCTCTGCAGAAGTGAAGCCTAATGGCATATGCTTAGGGGTCAGTGTAGCTTGACTGGTGAATTTCTGTGTTCTCTTTATGGCTGTGTAAGGCAGGAGCCTAGAATCAACAGGGTTTTGAAATGCAAAGTAAGATTTTTCCCTTTACATTTCAAGTCCTGCAGGTTCTGAAGGACTCAGCTGGAGAGTTTTATGGCTAACAAAGGCAGGATGGACAAAGCAGCTGACTACTGATGCTTTTAAATCCCAGCCTGAGAAGTCCTCTCTCCATTGAAAATCTGTATCTGTAATAAATTTAATCCACACCAACACTCTCGGAAGTTCATGTTAAATCTATTCTAATCTTAGAAGACAGTAAAATATTTGTCTGTAGATTCTTGGATTCACCTCATATCACCTGCAACACATGATCAGTATTTTTTGTTGAAGTTGTTATCCTTTTCTCAAAAACAAAACCAAAAAACCCCAAACAAACAAAAAACCAACAAAAAAAAAAAAAAAAAGGGAAAGAAATTGTTGGGATGGGAAGGAACAAGCAGTGTAACCAGAACTTCAAAAAAGTGTAAATGATCCAAAATTACACCCGCAGCTCAATGCTCAGAGAGCATAAATAGCCAGACACACACATGCACGCACAAACTCCATTTTTCTTTGATGTCCCTAATACAAATGCTGACCAAGGGCTGTCTTGCTTACTTTTATGAAATAAATATGTGAAATCAGAGCCCAAGGCAGATGTATTTACTGACTAGCGATTTCCTGTTGTGTTCACTGAAGCTACAAGGTACAAGATAACAAGAAAGGAATAAAATCCAGGTTGTAATACAAGCCTGAACTGTATATTGATGCCAGTAGGAGTGTATTTTTATGCTCTTATATTATTAAGATATATATGAAAGTGCTAGGTTAGTCACTGATTTCACAGAAAATCTGTGAGCACTGGCTGACTCCACATGGTTATGCAGCCAAGGGCTCTTTATAGAGGTTACATCCCTGTTCTCCAGCCACATCTGTGCTCCAACTTCCACACCAGTCTCCTTTTTCACCATTTGTTAGCAAATTCGTCTCCTACTCCTGCTTTTACCCACCCTGGGAGGCAGATTAGAGACAAACTCTCTGTACCAAAAAAAAACCTTCCCCAGAAAAAACAAATCCCATTCCCCCACTCCTATCTAAGGTGTTTACAAATCCACTCCTATCTAAGGTGTTTACAAATTTGCTTTCTTTAACCCAGTGCTCTCTTGCTCTCTCTTTGCTCTTTTGCCATGGTGAGGAACTAACATCCTCACTTTTGGAGGAACCTTGGAGGTACCTGGGAGGAGGTACCTCTTTGGTGCCATTCTTGCAAAGACCACATGGAAGAGGTTGGATTCTGCACAGAACTGGTCTGCTTTAGTGGTCCCCATCTGTCCCATATTGTCAAGCCATCCAACAGCTTTCTCTGGTTAAATCTGCCACAGGCGCGGGGTGAGCAGCCACAAGGCTCACCCAGGCAGCACAGGAGGATGACTGGCAGTGTGGCTGAGCCTGAGACAACATGCCACTGGACTGCAAACTCCAACTCAGATTTCTCCTGAATAAATATCAATAAAACTAAAAAGAGGTTTCTAGCACATAGTTAAAAGCATGGGAACAGCTGAGTTTGTGAAACTCTGTCCTGCCACGATGTGGATCCCTCCTGACAGAAGTCACGGTGTAAATTTAAGGGCATAAACCATTTGCTGTGGTAAGAGCAACTCTAACACTGTGAACAGTCTTCACAGAGAATCAGATTCCTGAAAGAAATTCTCCAAGTTTTCAAAAAATTGTCTCTGTGATTACTTCATCCCAAGACATGCCCAGGTTGTGATCACAGTTCAAGAACACAGAAATAGAGACAAAAGTGAGTGATCACTACAGTTGTAGGTTTTGTAGTCTGGGACAATTGGCTGATTTGTTATATATGGTTATATAATATTCCATATAATCTTATATTAATATTTATTATATATTCTATGTATTGCATTTTGTATTAATGGCCAGTTATGTGTTGCATTATTAAAATAATATAATATAAATAATATATTAATATTAAAAATATATAAAATAGTTAAAATTATAGTGACTCCTTAGAGCTGTTTCCACAAGCTGGAGCTTCTTATGGCCTTAGGAGATCATTCTGTAGCCAGGAATAGCTGAAGACCTAGGTATGCCCAGCCTTTGAATAGCTGTGTTTCCCATGTGTTCTCCTGCAAATGCACGTTGCCTCCCATAGAACAGGGCTATGGGTATTAAGCTGACTCCTGGTTGTTTTGGGGTTTTTTTGCTACCACAGCTTTGAAAAAACCCCAAACAGTATATGCTATGCAGAATATGGTCCCATTGAGAACGTTTCCAAATATCTCCACCCATGCTGAGAGAGAACTTTCAGGATGATTTCTTCTATGCTATGTTGAACGCACATCAGTTTATGGTAATACTCATTAACTACCACTGAGAATTTCATTTGAAGAATACTGAGTTACAAATACTACATAAGAAAAGATTGGTCATCAGGTCCATAAGCAATGTTTTAATGACTACATGGATTTTTTATGTGACAATCAAAGTGAGACCAATATCTGAGGGGCAAGAATGCTCGACACAAGTTGAGTCTGTGTGTTGTGACCATTCTAGTAAAACTTAATGTTCAGTTCCTGAGTAAGTGGAGCAGAAATCCGCAGAGTCAGTTTCTGTGGAGAAAAGGAGACACAAAACAATGAGCAACTTTATGTTAATGTAAAAAAGACCAGCTCAAAACAGACTAAGAAGTGAAACTTGAGTTTAGACCTTCCTAATTTTCTTAGCGTATCTGGTAGGTGACTTGATGGCAGTATGCATCTTTCTACTGCTGTATCCAATTCAACATCCACATTTTAAAAATTCAGGAACAGTTTAAAATTCATTAATAACATGAATGAAATATGAAATTATAAATACAATACCTGGCCTGCTCTTTCTGTGTTCAATGCTAAATTTAATGTATTTTGTGCTACTCATGTAATTTCCATTTTTAGTACTTCACCAGTTTTATCTTTATGTTTCAGAATTAATAATGTCTTAAAATTCAAGATATCCATTCACAGATCTTAGCTATTTCTTTACCAACCCACAAATTCATGTTAATATTAAAAGTCTATGCTTACTTACATCACTTCTTCAAAATATCTAATATTTTCATCTTTCATCAGAAACACTTCTCTACCACTACTTGGTAAGTTGGAATTCCACTTCTTGAATAATTTGCCTTTTATTCAAATACAGCTAAAAATCCAGAACAAAGTATTGCAACCCCATCCAAAACTAACCCAGAAGTGCCAGACAGCCAGAGAGGGTACTCCAGGCTGTGATACTGCATGGACAATGGGAGCTATGGATGTTGGGAACCTCTCTGCACATCCCAGCAGAGGATGCAAGTGTAATAAATTAAAGAACCTTCCTATCCTCAGGTCGTTTTGTTGTCAGCACAAGCCTGGTCAACAGACACGCCCTTCCAACATCCCTGCTGCAGTTACTGTACAGTTCCTTAGGGCACAATACTCCAGGGGAAAAAAAAGATAACAGACTCCTAATAATAGGAAGATTCTGTGATATTGCAAATGTCAGATCAGGGTAGCGCTGCATGAGTCTGAGAGAAAGAAGTGGTGTATTACTAAGCAACCTGTTTCTATTTATATACAAATAAATATGGCTCAATAAGCACTTAAGCACTGCTATTAGATAAATTTGCTTTCTGTAAAGCAAAAACAATATGGTAGAAGTTACTTTCTACTATATCCCTTCAAACAGTGTGGTCTCTGCTTGTTAAGCTGTTATGCAGTATGTAGTCTCATTAAGCCTATAAGAAAGTGGCAAATTTGCGCTTTACATTTTATTTTATTAATTACATGAGTTATAAGTCTTCAAGATCTAAACCCAAGCTGCTAGTGCTCTTCTTTTTTTTAATGAGAAGGTCAAACATGAGAGGATTATAGGTAGTGGCATTATAACATCTGTAGAGGAATGGTGGGAGAGGTTTGACTGAATCTCGTAGAATTGTGAGAAAAATATATTTATCAGGTATAAAAATTGTAATTTTTGTGCAGTTTTAGATCCCCACATCAGCAGCTTGGTAGGGTTTTTTTCTTCTGGCATTTGAAGCAGACCTTAAGTCACTAAGATCATATTTTTCTCTTAAATCAATTTTAACTTATACTTTTGTGACAAGCTTTTTAGTATTTTTAAATCATCTTTCTATGTGATGCTGTTAGTGTGCAGTTATCTTCTGGATCTCTGTGACTGGTACCTTCAAGCACATCTCAATGGAATGTTTTCTTTACCCTCCCACATTTATGTTGCTTTCAGCTTTCTTAGTAGCAGTTTGGCTGTTAAACAATTTCTTCCCTTGAGGCACTACTGATTACACTTATTTATGACATCGTCTCCGAAAGTGAGATTTTTACAATTCTCCAAGGCAGAAATTTATTCTCAGCAATTTTCTTCCTTTACAGATTCCTTCAATAAAATAAATGTTATTACCAGGTATGTATAATGGGGATCACTCTTTGGTTACAAATTAAACTTAAATCATTGAGCCAAGTGGGTAGGGTAACCTGAGACATGACATCCACTACTTGTTGCCTCAGTTATCTTTCATTAACTATGCGTTAGTGGCATCTTACAGTGTTAATACCAGGAGCTCCCTAGATGCAGACCAGCACTGAGATGTGAGTACCACATCTCATACAAAGTGTGCACAACCCACTTCAGCTGGTGACAGATATGGGACGAGTGACCAGAGGAAAGGAAATTTACTTGGTGTTGCTCCTTTTGTCCATACTCCTGTGCAAAAGAAAACTGGGACCACAGAGACTGTTGCAGCTTAGGGGTTTATTAGGGATGTTCTGTCCATCCCCTCTGGAATGTCTCCTTGTTGGTGCCAAAGGAGCACTGCACAAGTAAGTCATGCATTTTGGTCTGGAGCACTGAGGGTGGGTACTTAAAGATGCTGAAACTATACCTCCTTGGAAGACAGGGAGATACTGCTTAGAGCCAATTACACAGGAATAATTTTTGGACACCAAGTAATTGTTGAAAAGATCTACATCACTTCAGCAGTGGACAAAAAACTTTGACAAGTGTTCTCATTTTATCAAAATTATAAGAATGCCCATAAAACTGCTAACATTGCTCCCACCTTATGGAGCTGTATCTTCTTTTCAGTATTTCATTAGTTTAAAAATTTGTATAAGTGGTAGACATTAAGTAAAAGACAGCGTACATGTAATAGCAAAGATTCAAGTTTCCTAAAAGAGCTCTTGCTTTTGCTTTTTTTTTCTCCTCTAAATCTCGGACTGTTGTATCAAGAATTATGTCTGGTTTATATTGGAAATATAAAGGGGTGTGGATAAGAAACTGTTCCTGTTCTGTACTGCCTTCATCCCCTTCAATGCTCTTCACCCTCCTTTCCCTAAGTTTTTTCTTAACTACTCAGTTCAGCACTTACCCCACTCATCTCAAAAGAGAAAGCATCTCCATGGATAGATCTTCCATTCAGAGTAACAGCTTGAGGTCTCAGTTTCAGGCCAAGAATTGTAATTTTGTTGTACTTCAGTGTGTCAGCTCCTCGGTAGCCATTTTTCAGTATTTCTGTCTTCAGGTTTCCCTGGAAAAAGACACAGAGAACACTTTAGGACCATGACAACGCTTTAGTGGTGACTTACTGCACACTGTTACAAGACCTCATCCTTGTCAATTAACGTACAGAATGCCTTCCAATGTAGACATTGAGGTCTAAGATTGTAAAGGAAGAAACAACAGTTGTATTAATTTGCACATAAGAAAGATTTCATGTATGATTATAAATAAGAAAGTAAGCATTCATTTGGAATCTTCTGGACACGTTTTTCTTCTTGTAATCAATGTAAATTTTGTTCTTGTACCCATTACAGAGTACAGTGGCATATGCAAAGCCAAAATCCAGATACAGAGATTCAATTAGTGACCTTAAGGCAGATTTAATTAACATCCAAAACATACTGCTTTAAAATATTAGCATCTTCCACAAACATCAGTTGCTAGATATTTTGCCCCTATTTTATATACCGTATCTCCTGCTAGAAATCTCTGTTATATAAGTCTCAGCTTTAAGGAGACTGAAAGAACACTGTATGTCCAGAGAGCTTTGTTTGTTGTACTTCTTATTTACTAGACATCCCATATTTAGGGGTGTACCAAGAGGACATACAAAGTCATTAAACTAATTCATTTGGATCACCAGTGACAGTAATTTCCCATACATGCAATGAAGAGGAATCATCACATTTGTTATGTGATCAAAGTTGTTAAGGAAATAAAGATGAATTACACTGCTCAGGAAATTATGGATTGCTATGCAATCATGACTTTTTAAAAATATGCCAAGGAGAAACCCATGATGGAATCTTTTGCATAAATTAGCCTGTGTTATTCCAGTGGTGCCTGGTAGGAGGGGAGCAGAGGGATCACAGTATTTGTAACTTAGGCCTGTGCTTAGATTGCTTATTTCAGGCATCCACACTAAAAGTAAGTGCACACTGATTTAAACTGCCTAAACAAGGAATGCTGGCTATTTTTCAGCAAATGGGGAGAGGCCTCTAAAAGCCTGTGGACAATTTGTTAGAATACTTATATGTGCTGTCTTCTTCCCACTGGCAGAGCTCCAGCACAGAGGAAAGGTTCAGTATAGAGAGACCACCTCCCTACAGTGGTTTATTGCTGTCTCAGGTGTGGCTGAGCAGGAGAGCTAGGACAGACCCAGTAAACACAGTGTGATGTTGAACTCAGTGATCGCAACTCTATTAACAAGGCTGCCCTCAAGCTCTGAGGCCCTGAGATATGACTCTTCAATAGACACTGTTCTCTCTGACCAAGGTCTAGAACTGGAGGTCTTGGAGAGACAGGGAGGTGATGGTGCAGGGGAATGAGTGATCCTCTCCTCCCCAAGCATCTAGTGGTTAAAGCAATTTCCCAGAAAGGTCCTGAGTTCTCAGCTGAGGGAGGAAACTTATGGATATCACTCAAAGCCCCATAAATGGAAAGCCAAATGAAGTCCTGGATATGAGGCCAGACGCCAAGACCTCTGTACTCTGAGCAGTAGGGTCATGATTTTTCTTTCCTACTGTCTAGCTCTGGTGGGCTTCATATAAGAGGGCACTTTGGCTTAGGTCACTTAGTCACTATGCATGTCAAAAGGGAGATGTCAAGTGACCTAAAATGCCAACCACAGGGAGACAGCACCAGAGAGCAGAAGTTTGAATCATTCCCTGAGAATTAGGTGCCTGTGCTAGCCTTGAATTCTTTATACTTCTGGGTTGTTTAAATGAAAATATAAATTAGAGGGTGTAATCCTGTAGGTGTTACTTGTACAACACTCTGTGCTGGGTTCAGAATAAATGTTGTAGTGTTAGACCTTATCAGCAAATCTCTCAGGGAACAAAACTCACGTGTTCTCTTAAAACTAGGTGTGATTAAATTATTCATCCACATTTTTCTAAGAATATAGAAATGTGCAACAAATACCAAGACTTTCATATATTTTTCATACTTCTACAATTTGCTATTTGAGATGGACTGTTTTCTTTATAAACACATAATAAAAAATCGACATTAAAGATTATTGGAATGCAGATAGGGAATTCAGTCATGGATTTACAGGCAGAAGTCAAATATGAGCAATGAGAAATGGAAGTGCCAGAGAATCAACAATCTAATTTGCACAGTTCAGAATTTAATATAAAACTGGATATTGTTTTTCTGTAGCCTTCCTGCAATACAGACTAACAGAAAACCAAAGTGATTTTTCTTCCTTTTGCTGTTGAAATATCCTTTTTTTTTTGAAGAAAAGGATTTTTTTTCCTCAGTAAATCAAGAGGAAAATAAGTTAAAAATTGAATTTAAAGTCTACACATGTGGTATTAGTTCCAGGAAAATGTCTCATAAATATACCAGGCTACATAATAAAACCCATTGGCTTGCCCTGGCTTGCTCTTGCTTCTGGAAGACAAACCTTCTAAGAGCAGTATCACAATAGGGTTAACAAGATTTTATTCTTTTGAATATTTTTCTGTAGACTACTTTGGGGCTTTTAGGAATACATGTCATGAAAACCATAGAATCATTTAGATGGAAAATACCTTTAAGGTTATCAAGTCCAACTATTAACCCAGCACTGCCAAATTCACCACTAAATCATATCCTTAAGGGGAAATCTACACATCTCTTAAATCCAACTCCAGGAATGGTGGCTCCACCACATCCTTGAGCAGCCTGTTCCAGGGCTTGATAACCCTCTCAATGAAGAAATTTTTCCTAATATCCAATCTAAACCTCCCCTAATGCAACTTGAGGCCTCTGGTCCTATCATTTGTTACCTGGGAGAAGAAACCAACACCCATCTCTCTACAACCTCCTTTCAGGTAGTTGTAGAAAGCAATAAGGTCTCCCCTGAGCCATCTTTTATCCAGGCCAAGCATTCCCAGCTCCCTCAGCTGCTCCTCATAAGCCCTGTGCTCCAGACCCTTCACCAGCTCCACTGCCCTTCTCTAGACACAGGATTCGAGGTGTGGCCTCACCAGTGCTGAGTACAGGAGAACCATCCTGTGCCCTACTGATACACACCAGGATGCCACTGGCCTCCTTGGCCACCTGGGCAAATTACTGGCTCATGCTCAGACAGCCAGGGACAAACCAGGCCATAGTCTACATACAATATTCTACTTCTTACCAAATGCTAGAATTGCAGATGAAATATGATCTGTATGGATTATTGAAGTAGTTTAAGGGTTTTTTACAATAACTCCCACAACTTACTATCATATACCTAATGAGCTTATGGTAGATTTATTTCATAGTATTTTTCTGACTTGAAGCCTGGACTGTTGGGTTTTTCTATCGGGCTTTCTCAAGACATGTCTATGCAGAAGTGAGCGCTGTGTGAAAGGCATCAGTGCACTGACCCTGAGCAAATCTATTCCCGTGCTGCACGGAGCATCTGATCAGCACGCTGGGTTGCCAGTAACATGCTGAGCCACTCCACAGGAGACCAACCGTGGGAGCTGTCTCTGTGCTGTCAGGCAAGAAAACGCAAGCTAAAGAATTGAGACTACGTAATTCTCTGCGCTACAAAACAAAAATTTCAAGTGATCAGATTTAAAAAGTTGCTGGGATATCCTGAATAGAGGAATGTAGCCCTTTCCCACCCATCAGACTGAAAGTGTTCAACATGAGGAAGGCAAGGAAAAGGTTCCTCATACCCAGAAGCTGCAACTAAGGAAAAAAAAAAAAAAAAGCTGAAAAAGTGGATTTTCAGATTCGCATCACAGCAGGGACATTAATGATGTGTCTCACTGTGATACTCAGTGAAGCAAACACAAAACTGCAGCATCCTAGTTGGACTATTTTGTATCTAGCTGTAAATGAAAGCATTAGGTAGTTTACCAGGTTTAAAGGCTGAGTTAGAAGAAAAAAAAGCTTTTGAGAGAAAAGTTAGACATCAGCACCTTACAATGGCTACACTAAAACACAGCTACTTACTTTGCTGAATGTATATTTAGCCAAGAAGTAGTTCTCATTTTCAATGGTATCTGTTAAAACACAAAGCAAGGAGGATTAGTATCAAAACATCTAGTAAAATCCATAAGCAGTTCACATTAATGGTATCAAGTGGTTAAAGTCAGACTAAGATGATTTGTGGGCTATTTAATCTCTTTCTCTAGTCTTCACTTGATCTCAGGGAAACACAGCATGAGAGACTTCCCTCTCTAGCAGACCAGCTGTTCCCAGTGTCACGCCTTGCTCATATCAAAATGCTGACTTCAAGAGCAATCTGCTTTTCACCTTTGTAATGTTCAACCTGGGGTCAGTTCTCCAGCTATTTCTGGCAGGAGCCAGTGCCGTTATACTGCTGAGAAGGCAGCCTGAGGAGAGCCTTGTATACACACACTGCTTCACACCAGAGCACCAAGCTTACCAATGGAATCACCATCATCCCAGAAAAGAGACCCAGAAGCTTCTCCTTGTTCATCCAGGGCAATTATGAGACCAAATGGGTTCAGACGGCTGTTGACAAACACATTGAGAAGTGTCAGTACAAACCCGTAGGCTCTGTCCCTTCCAAGTACTTTAACAAAATCTTCTGAACACAATTAACTCCCATTTTAAGTTTACAACAAAGGCCATGACAGAAGAATGATACTTGTTCACCAACAGGACTCCTGAAGTGATTACAAAAACTTAGTCTTGCCTTGTCCCACTGACATGTAAAATTCCCACCTTTTGAGTGCTCATGTGGACAAGTTTCCCCTTCTTTTGTGGACTTGATATATGACAACTGGGCAGTCTAGGAGACAACTGGTCCCCAGTGCTACCTTAGTGCAGCATGGATTGGTTGCTGCACAGTGCTGTTCCCTCCCTTTCCTACTTAGATTAGCTTCTGAGCATGGTTCAGACTTGAGATCAGTATATTATCCATTGGCATGGGGAAATAATTTTCCTCAAAAGAGATTTGCTTTTTTCCACTTTGTTTATGGCATTCAACAAATTCACCCAAGGAGAAGAGTTCTGCATTTTCCCTTGCATACATTTACTCTGAATGACTGACAGCAGGTCAGTGTGGAAGTAAGAGGTGCAAAAGCTTTTCTGAGCATAACCACAGAGCCAGGAGTAGGCTTCAGCTGTGCAAATGGGTCATCTCTGGGGTGATTTCTCCTAATGAAATGGGGCGAACAGTGGTATGAAAATACTGTACTTATCATCTGGGAAAGCAGCTGGGAGCTGCAGATAGTTTCTCTTCTGTACTTTCTTTTAATTGCTTTTTTGACTGTCTGTGGGTCTGACCCACACTGTGGTTGTTTGGTGATGATCACAGATGAGTTTACCTCCTTGTGGTGGTTGTGGCTGGTGCCTGTTGTGGCAGAATGTACCCTCCACGGATGAACAGAGGGATCTTGCTCAGTGGGGCAGACACAGTAGCATAGTTCTTCTTCCAGGCACTTGGCACTTTAACACCCTACCACAAAAATTAAGGCAGTTAAAAAGAAGGCAATCCAGCCTCTATATATATACCTCAGAAAAAGAGAACAAGAGGTACATTTTCATCTCAATCACATCAGTGAAGAAACATATTAAAATGTGGATTTCAGGAGTATTATTCCAGTTTCTTTTTTAACATGAAAGAGGATCTAGCCCTTGCAGTTATGCATATGCATGAGATAGAAGTATCATGAATGAAAGACAGCAAATGGTCTTTAAAAATGGTATCATTATTCCATATGCCGTAGAATAAAAACCCCTCATCAAGAGACTGAGCGAGAAGAAAATGAAACTTTTTCTTCTTTTTTTTATACATATGTAGTCTGTCACACTTCAGTTTAAGGTAAGTGATTCATAATCATTTGGCAATGTAAACTGTGGATTTTCTTCTCTTCTAAGGACAATTCTTCCCCTTTCAAAAAGTAATTACAGCATTCAGTGCGTGAAATTTGTGTGTGTGTCGACAACCTGCATCATCCCTTCCTTTTTATGGTTTAATGCCTCAAAGGCAGGTGTAGGCAAGACTAATGTACAGAGTAAATAACAGGAAGGCTTTGCTCTTGCCCTCTGTAAATGATAATTATAATTCATGGCAAGTACCCAACCTTGGTTTTGGATAAGCACCAAGTGTACGGCAAGTATGTGCCAAATGCTGGGAGATGAGCAATGCTAATGCTGATAGGCAGGGCAAGGGACACTGGGGCTGCTGTCTCTGTGCCCAGCCCAGCAAAAGGCCTCAGAGGGAACCACAACAAGGAGAGTTGAATTAAATGCTCAACTTTGCAGCGTCACAGTCTTATGAAAATAGAAAAAGGAAAGGGTTGGATGAACATCCGTCTGAGGACACCAGCCAAATGCTGAAAATGACCAAACGCCTTTAAAAATAAGTCTGCATTTCCTCTGAGAGCATTTCTGTACTGCCTGCTCCTCTGCCAGGGTCTCTCAGGGTAGATAACAACAGCCTGATGATCCTGGGCTCACAGCATTTAGCATCAGCCTAAGGGCTCCTGTTGAAGCCAATGCTGGCCTTAGCCTGCAGATTACAGCGGAGTGTAGTTAGGTTGAAACTGAGCACTTTTGGAAGTGCAGTCCTGGGGATGGTGTTCAAAAGGTCAAGGCTCGTAGTCCCTGAAAGTAGAAGATACTGGAATGCAGATTGTCCTGCATCTCTTGGAAGCATCTTCCAGAGGGGAACCTCACCTTGCTTACAAAATATGCCTTCTGTCAAAAGTGATGCATGTGCAAAAGTGCATGCACAGAAGGGTTTGTGCCGTGTTCTCAGGAGTGTGGTTTGGGTTTCTGCCTCTGTTTCTGTGCAAGAAAGTGCATCAGTACAAGAATTAAAATGGGGGGGAGGGATGGGAGGGGGTGGCGGGGAGGAGGGGAGAAAGAAATCTTGGCACTTCCATGCATTTCTAGGCTGCTCTTGGAAATTCAGTTCTATGTGTCTTAGACCTTTACAGACCAAAATAGAAAATAAAATGTTACTGAAAGCTATGTAATTTACTCTCCCAGCTAGCCTGGTGAAGACTTTGTGTTCTCTAGTTTTCTTAAACACAGATACTGAGGTAAAAACACTGGTGAACATTGCTAAAAGTTATTTTGCTGGAATTGTACCATTTTAAATTATTTTTAAAAATGTAAGAAAATTAATCTTAAAAATACATACGGTATAGTAGTCAAACCATTCTGCATCAGGGAAGTATACATCCACCGATCTTGCTCCCTGTAATTGTTATAAAGAGATTAAAAGATTAAAGTCTTTTTTCTTTTTCCATTTCTGATATTACATTAGCTTTATTGTATTTGTGCATGGAGAGATGTATGCCGAGTATTCTAATAGCGTCAAATCTTGGATATTAAGGCTGAGTTATTGTCATAGTAGTGGACTAGTGCTGGCTAATCTATAACACCAAACAGACAAGCTTATGCTATTTAGGGGGTTTTACTGCCATTCCATGGGATGAGTCAGTGTTTCATGATTATTTCATTCTAGTACATAGCTCTGTGTCTTGCAAATGTAACTGGCCTAGATGCACTCTAACATCTGGGCAAGCCCAGTGAGGTCTAGGGCAGCCTTTGCAAGACAGGACTTCACATGTGAAGTGGGAGGACACCAGTGGTCAGTGGTCAGTGCCTCTTGCACCTTCCTATTGCAGAAACAGGCAGACAGTAAGGTCTAGCAAGGAGGATAAATGGATATTTCTCTTCTTGTAAACCATTTAAAGTTTCAGATAAGTAATAATAAATAATAAATGTGCTGCTAATTGCACAATTGCTGTACTTTGTTTTGCAGCATGTGTTGTATCATATCGCTGCAGGGATGAAATCATGCCAAAGGCACTTTGAATCAATATCTCCAGGAACAGTTGGAATCAAAACATTTTTGTCAAAAGTTGCTTATTCTCACAAACAGATTAATTTTGATTCTCAACGTAGGTGTCTGACTCTTTGCCGGATTATGATTTAGCCCCAAGGATTACTCAAGGGAGCATGTGAAGTAAGAAAAGGTGGAGAAGAGTCAAGGCAAAGTTATCATTTTATATTTTAAGTATTTATATATATGAAAATCCCTATAAAGTCAAAATGCCTCCCTCTCCATCTTTTCTCTGCATTATTATGACAACCCTGGGTATTCTGATCTGCAGAAAAATGTGTAACCACCATCTGAATCATGATGATTTCAAGGCCAGGTTGGATGGGCCATTGAGCAACCTGATCTAGTGGGAGGTGTCCCTTCCCGTGGCAGGGGGTTGAGACTAAATGATCTTTAAGGTCCCTTCCAACCATTCTATGACTCGATGATTCCATGAGCCTTACCTTTCCGACTCCCTAAATAACAAAGCAGTGTGTAAGGCAGTTCCCCATTTTAATTTTCATGGATGTCTCACTTGCTCTCACCCTCAGACTCAAGGAATGAAGGGCAAACCATCCCTGACCCATCTTCTCCACAGAAGCAGATGCCATGCTGCAGTTTGATGCAGTCACTGCTGGCCTGCAATGCCACAGTGAAGGGCTTACAGCTCACCCTGACTCTGCCCTGCTATCTGGCAGCCTAGCTGCCACCTCTCATACTGCAAGACCCAACAATGTGTTGCCTTCAGAGTTCTGCTTCTCTCATCAGACCACAGGCACCTGGCCCTCCTTTTGTGCTGCAGTCCTCCAAAAAAACGTTAGGATCTCCCTTTATAGGTCCCCTATCATTTTATATGTCCTTATAATGTTCCCTTTCATTCGCTTCTTCCCTGGCTTGCCACTCACTCTTCATGGGAAGGTTTCTCTCACAACCTTCATCACGTTGCTGGTCTGAGACCCTGCAAAATCTTGTTACTCATCAGCTATTAGAAACCTGTGGGAGTCTGAAGATAAAGGACTGACAAATGAAGTGCCTTAGTGGAGTCAGAATGGTTTTAGATCCAGGAATAAGAATTTCATTTTAAATTCAGAGAGTCAAAAGCGTTGGTTAAGAAAGGTGACTAAAGGTGGCTGGTTTATATGTTTGATCATCAGTAACATCTAGAAATATAGCAGATATTCTGGCAGCATGCTGATTGCTAACAGTGCTAGGATGCAAATACTTAGATGTGCTCAGACACACCTTTCCTTTGCTGTCAGCAATCAGCAGTGGGCAAGGAGAGAAATCCACCCTTGCCAAGCAACGTGAGCCTTGACCGCAGCACTGTGCCCAGCACAGCAGAGGAAAATGCTGCTTTCTAAAACCTGTCCTGTTAGCAGCTAACATTATCATTACCATTTCTGTAATGACTGCCTTTGCCTGTGATGCTGGGAAACTCCTACCACAGCCCTTGAGGTGATGCAGTTTCAAAACACTGTGGGTGAGCAGTAATATGGAAACCAGTTTGCTTGAATATCTGTGTGTTTCTTCCTAGCTCAACAATTACTGCTCTGTGTGTGTCCTTGGAGGCTGCTGCCAGCACAATAACAGGAGCACGTGAGGGGCAGAATCCAGCCTCTTTACATCTGTTCGTCACTTGGAGTAGCACGGAAAGGCTGTGCCCTCACTTTCATCCTCCCACTTCAAGTACTGGGAAGCTCTGTTCTGTCTGTGCTGCTCAGAAATGTGTTCTATAAGCTTTGACAGTGGAGGGAAGAAAGGAATAGATATGAGCAAACATGCTCTGAATGTCACCCAATGCCCTAAGCGCAGTTCATTTCTTTTATTCCAGTATGATGGCATTTTTTAATTACAGTACTTGCCTCGTCAAGAACAGGAGCAATCATAAAGGCAGGTCCCCAAAGGAAGGCAGTATCTATTCCATGAGTCTGCTGATCAGAGGTAAACCTGTGTTGAAAGTGAAATACACAATATTAATTCACATTTTGATAGAACTTGCCGAATATTTGGATATTACTCACTGTGACAAGAATTCTGCTTCTTCAAGATATCCTTCAACACTGCCAAATATTTTTGCTGATTGAGGGAATGCCAAAAGCTGGGCAGAGATTCAGAACTTACAGTAGCACCTATCATCCAAGAGCAGACCAGAACCCTCACAAAATTATATAGCTGATTTCTTTTCAGAGCAGCAATAGTGGGTAAACAACGAACTTAATTTCTGTCCAGTGAGCTGAGCCTTCACTGCAGGAGCCAATGAGCAGGACAGGGGCCAGGACCAGGAGAATGAACACAGACAAAAACCATTGTGCTCTGTGATCTAAAGCATTTGTGAAAACCCTTGGATTTGGCTTCCCACACCTTTCACAGATTTACATTTGAAATCTTTTGCAAGACAAACACAAAGCAACATTTATACATAGTGTTCTTTTTAGCTGCCTCTCTAGAATGGATGAGAAACCTATGGAATTCAGTCCATTTTATTCTAAGCATTAAGATTGTTTTGGATCTTGGTCATGTCCTCCAGAGTGCTCAGAGTCCTGTTCACCTGGCATCATCTGCCTTCTCTTGGGAAAAGATCACTATTCCACCATACATCAGCTAATGAAAATATTGAATAGCACCTGCCAAAGAGGAGAGATAGGAGAGATCCCCCCCCACGTCAGGAACCTCCACTCATCTGGCATAAAATCCTTGAGAATTTAAAAGGGTTTTCAATCATTTCTAAGTCCATCCCTGAGGAAATTAATAATAGATTCTAGTTATCTTATAAGAATATCTCAGGAAGTGTGTCTCAAATCCTTTTAAAATCAAGTTACCTTGTACCTCCTGACTTCTGCCTCTCCTCTGCCCCCTTTCCCATTCAACAGCCCTGCTGCCTTGTCAGAGATGGCAGTTGGTCTGGTTTTCATTCATTTTTGACAAATTCACACTGGCTATTGCATATGTACATATTATTCTCTAAGGACATATAAATTCTTTGTTTAAAATTGTATTTACTGTGTCTGTTACACTGACTTTGCAGCTGCCCCCATCTAAAGCCAGATTTCTGTCGTAAGCTGGCCAGAGCACAGTCGCTCAGTGTCGGTGCCCTGCTCTGACACCCTGCCTGCTCAGGGCACAGGCACACACTGCACTCAGCCCAGACTTACAGAAATTTCCCTAAAATGAGCAAAGATAACTCAGCAATAAAAAGACACCTATTGAGTGTTCAGATTTCTAAAATATTTCAAGCTTAGGGGAGTACATGGAACTTAGGAAAAATTGTTCTTGAAGGCATGCCTTGGGCTCTGTCTGAAAGACACCTCAGCTTATTCAGAGGTTCTTTTTCTGTCCAGAACAGTCTTTTGGACACCTCCATCTCGGTCGTTACTGCATTTTGACACAATACTTTGTAAATATTTAAAGCAGATTATGGCTTTTGATTAATTACCTTGTTGTAAAGATTTTGAAATATAAAACATTAGTTTTTGTTGTCATCTCAATAGCTTCTCTGTATTTTCAATTTCACTGTAATAAAATTGTAATACTAATTCAATATGCTTTGTTGTGGGAGATTTCAGGACAAAAAGCTGATCAAGAAATTATGACAAAAGAGAACTTGATCGTATTTGTGTATGGAAAAAAGTGTCTCAGCATCTAACAGCACTATTTTCTCTTGCAATTACAGCAACCACAAGCAGAAATTCACAAACAAATGAATTCTCCTATTTTGAAAAGATAAGCCATTAAACTATGTCTCTTTCCCTTCCACTAATGGATTACACCTTGTGGTCTTTTTGGACAGCTGAGATGCTGATGCCTCTGTTTTACTGTCTGAAAGCCTCAGAGGCACCTAATATGCTTATAAGAATCTACTGGGATGTTGTTCTTGTTTGTTATTTGAAACAAGTCCCTGAACGTTTGGAATGGAATGAAAAATCTGAAATGACCACGTGAAACAGCTATTGCTTGGAGTCTCTCTGCCCAGGCACATTTGTTTTCATGGTGAGGGTTATGAACTCATAAGAGCTCCACCTGAAAAACTACTGCAGGAGGTTTTTTAGCTCTCCTTTGTATTTTTTACAAGTAAGAGAAAGGTTTGTTGTAAACTTCCATCATCCATACACTGAAATTTCTCTTTGAGCTCTCTCTTTCTCAAAGCCCCACACTTCTCCTCCTGTAGCATCTGGGTCACTTTCTCTACTTGAGTAGACTCACTACTAAAACAATTAATATTAATTAGAAATAGGAAGAAATACTCATTAAGTAATAATAGTAACCAGACTTAACCAATAATAGTAAGAAACACTTTTAAGCCCTTTTAGGATCTAGCTATGGCAACATTAGGAAGTGATGGGACTACTAAGGTGCCACTGGAATGGGAACTGGGGAGTAAAACAGTCTGTTTTGGTCTCCTGATGCCTACACTTACTCACATGCATTTTAGAGGTTTTATTTCCTAGTAATCCCACTCTGGTCCCACTGACTGAACTACCATCAGTGGCTGGAGTGCACCTCTTGGATCAGTTTCTTTCAATATAAGCCTCCACTAGTGCATCTGAGACCGCTCTACAATTCAAACCAAACAAATTTGGAAATCCCCTAATGTAGATGTGGCCCAAAGAGAGTACAGGTATGCTGGTAATGGTCAGAAAGGCAGCTTTAATGACACCAAAATAATTCTGTATTAGCAGAGATTAGCTAATAATAATGCCAAAAGTAACTTGGGCATTTCCAGTATTAACAGAAATCTCATTAAGCAAAAAACAGAGCTAAAATAAATAACATATAGCCCCTTACAAGGTATGAGTACCTGTAAAATTCTCTATAATGTTACCTAGTAAAATAACACTGCAGAGCAGAAAGGGAAAGGATATTGCTTTTAAAATTTATCAGTTAACCATTATGCTGAGTGAGCATATCCTTTCCATGGTTGAATGGTCTGCACTTTAGTGTAATCTCAGTTTAATTTGCAAAAGATGCCTTACCCTTTAACCAGAATGTTTTTAACCTAAGGGGAAAAAGAACATTAAACAGTCCACAGCGTAGCCTGCACCAATGAAACTAAATTGTGCCGGAGCTTTGGGCAGTAGCCTTTCATATGTATTTTTTGCACTCCTTTTGCTCAAGTCTTTGCATAAAGCATTCTGAAGTAGAGAATTTACCAAAAGGAGGTAAAAAAATCTAATTAAAAGATGAGGAAAGGGAAACTAAACCTCAGTTGGATTCCTGCTTCTTCCAAACAGAAAAAATGAGTTGTTCCAAAAATCTGAGTCTAATTTTCTGAGAGGGTTTTCAGTCTGTATTTATTAATCTCAGTTTTGCACCTGCTTCTACACTCAGACATCTCTATCTCTGTTTTCTCTGTGCAATTTGTGGACACAGATGTGGGTTTCACAGATAGCTTGCAGATGCAAGTGCTAAATTGGAAAAAAACAAATGCTGTGGATGATTGGACTCTCTGTATGAGGCCTTTTGGCATTCTGGACCAGAATACAGATTTCATCTATTTCATTCAAACACAGAAAATACAGGTGTGTGATTCCTATATTTGAAATAAAAAAGAACTACATATTTGCCTAACACTAGAAGTTTTCAGAATTCTTTCTTAGATTATCTTTTTTCCCCCCCACTGGATTCAAATATAGGTTATATTTTAATGGAAAATCATTGCTTATATTGAGAGTTACCTTTGTGCATATAGTTTGATTAATTATTCAACTGCTCTTAAGAGAGAGCATGCAATAATAATAATAATACTGTCATGATTCTCATACAGATGTCAACTATTACATACATACATACATGTAAAAGCTCAACAAATTATGTGAAAAAATCACGGTAAAAAAGAGAGACTCCAAACTCACTCGTGCATCAGTGACCGCACCACTGTGTTTCCGTGCACGTGAGACTCGTAGAACAAGGTGTACAAGTACGGCAGCAGGGAGTATCTGATCCGAAGGGTAGCACGAGATATCCTGGCAAACTCATCTCCGAACACCGCTGGGTCTTGCTCCTGTTAAGTAAAAGCTTTGATTGGTACTGAGCATTGAAAGTATGGTCTGAAAATACAAGAGAGAACCTGTGTGCAACATGAGGAGAGCTGTGGCTGACATGAGGCTACCAAAGCGAGTGTTCAAATAAGAAAAAGCACTGTTTTGCAAATTGGAAGACGTATTAAGGACAACATCCATTATTACCAAACTAATGCTTGTATAAAATTTTTCAACTTGAAAAACTCCAGTGAGTTCAAAGAGATCAGGCCTCACCACAGTGTATGTGAGCCCTCTGCAACCACGCTGAACCTTGTGGCTGGGAGGGGAGCTGGGGTTTCATGTCTGTGCTCAGGAACAGACACCCTGTCTCTAGAAATTAGTTTATCCTGAAGTTACAAGCCCTCTGGGACAATGAAGGTGAAACACAGAAAAAAGAGAAGACTGATAATCTGCAAATCAAAGTCAAAAGCCTAATTATGTTGGCCATGCACATAAAAGAAAATCTATTTTAAAAAGTAAACTCATGGCCTTGCTGAAGCCACCAGGAGTGATCACACTGTGTGCAGTGGGGAAAACATTTCATCCCTTTGAAGAAACTTGATTTCTCCTCCATTTTAGGATAACAGGACACCCACACATCGGCTGTGCCCCTCACCTCCTCCCTGCCAGCGATGCTGTCCAGCGAGAGAGGGCATGCACTGGGTCCCACCATCAAGAGGGCAGGTTTAAGCAGTCTGTCTATATTCATTGACTGGTTTTGATCTTACTCCAAGGCAGCCTTGACTCTCCCCTGGGATGGGATGCAGAGTGTGCAGCCCAGGGCAGTGATGATACAGGAAATAGTTACACCTCCTTTAACTCCTCCGGTCCAACCTTCTCCAGTGCTAAACAGCCAGCTAATGAATCACATGGCTCCCTTCCTCCTTCACAAAATTTTTCCATAGCACTCAGTTTTCTCATTAAAATTGAAGACTATATGATGAATTCCAAGGATAATGAAACATAAATGGAATAGAAGTAAAAAAGCTTTTTATATTATCTAGTGCTTTTCAGACAAGAAAAGTATTAATTAAACTTTTTGAAATCCCCAGTGAATTAGGCAAAGGGGATATTTTAGATTTTATTTTAACAATAATTTTATGTTAATTAAACTCAATATTTAAGTAAAATTTCACCATTATTATGTTTGCATCAGATTTAGTCACTAATAATACTCCCTGCTGGCTCTCAGCTCCAGAGCATCTATCTGTTATTTCAAAAATTGCACCATATTTTTACCAGTGTTCTGATGCTGTACAAATATTGCCTAATTTCACAAAAGCAGTTGGACTTCCTAGGTGATGCTCAGTGAACCAAAATACCTGTTTATTTCTTTCAGTGAACACAATGCTTTAAGTGGATCTAAGTAATCCAGTAAAACCAAATGTATCTCTGAATTGCAGCTCCCATCATATAGACCCTTTGCTCTCTTCCTGTTTATTAAATTGTACATATGTGATTGATACTCACCCAGGACCCCCTTTGCATGCTCAAGGGGCCGAGCAACCATATAAATATATATAGGTACCTCTAACTTTAGTGAAGAGGTAAATAGAAAATATTTATCAGCAGTTAACACCCCCCAGACATTTGTTCTCCTACAAAGAAATACCTCAGCATATCTCAGGGATCTGCAGGCTAATTCCTGACCCTCTTATTGGTAGTACTATAGCTTATTATTCCTCCATTTGCCCAATTGCTGAATATCCATCATACTTTCATGCAGAGACAAAGGTCTGTCTGGGGTTGTAAATGTTGCAAAATTTTGATGATGCAACTTGAAAGAAACTGAAGGTTAGCAAATAAACAGTTCCAGCATTGCACAGATCAGTTTACAGAAGGAAAAAAACTCCAAACATTTATTGAACCAGCAGAACCATTTCATCATGGCTGCAGATAAACACAGCATACCTACAACGGCTGTAAGACCTTCAAACTTCATAGCTAGAAACAACCTGACCTTCTTTCTGTCTGCCACAAGTCTTTAAAGGACTTTATGATGTTGAAGCCAGGGCATGGGTCTGGATTGAGACTGCACTACTTTTTCATCCATCTCATACGCTCGTTGGCCTTTTTGGTCTTGGTTGCTTACCTTGGCTGATAATGCTGTCACTATTGGTGCCTCTCCTTGGAATTCTCACATGTTTGTAACCTGCTTTTAAACAGCAAGGACAATGTATAATAATCTCTCTCCCCTTCCTGCAATACTTAATATAATTACAGAAGTACTGCAACAAAAATTGAAGCAGTCGAGGGAGTAGGCAGATATGCTGGCACTCATTGGCTTTTAAATAAAACCTGGGCTTCAGTAGGTGGAAGATGGAGCAGATGAATGTTACCAACAGCATGAGATCAGCATTTCTATATTATTTTTACATTATGAATGGGAAAAATTTACACTTCCCTGTGTAATTCCCCCTCTCAGTGCAGCACTCCTTTTCACCCACTGTTCCAGTTTACCCAAGAATGGCAGGTTAATTTCTGAGAAAGTAATACAAATCACTGTCAACATAACTGTAATCATAAGACTACAGCTTTATGTAATGTCATTTACTTACACTGTTTCCCTCTGCATTGTGATTTCTGGAAAATGGGTAGAAAGAGCCAAGCTGCATCCAGCGCAGGCAGAGTTCGTAGGTAGTGTTGTAGTTAAACCCACAGATATCAGCACCAATCTAAAGAAAAATAAAATCATGTTTATGACTGTGACTGAGGCCCAAAAATGCAAAACTACAGAAATACACTAGAAAAAATAATTTATGGAAAGTAAAACCTATTTCTAAGTACTTGATGGAAGTGTTCCATAACAATAACAATATTTCTGTGACTGAGATTGTATTGGCTCCTAGAGCACTAAGATCACTGTGGAAGATCTAACAATATTTCAATAACTCTACAGATTCTCCATCCCAGCTTGCAAAACCAGAAATGTATGAAGAGACTTCAAACACAGAATATGATAACAACATAATACAAAGGGATCGCTTTTGGATGGCATGTAGTGACTCAGCCTGAATCTTGCAGAGCTCTTTCTGTTTCCCTTCAGCAGCCAAGACTGATGACATTTAGCCCTTTCTAATCTGCAGCTCCTGACACTCTGGAGGCCGTTACCACTGGCCACCTTGAGCGGTTTGTTTCAGAAAACTTTGAGTTATTTGAAGTGATATCGTGTACGAGCCAGCAACTGCCTGAAGGACACCAGACTTACATAGGGAATGCCAAAGAGGTTGAATTCCAGGATTCCAATGATTGACCGGCGCAGGTCCTTCCACTGAGAGAAATTGTCACCCAGCCAGTGACCGCCGTGCTTCCCACTGCCAACGAATGTAGACCGACTCAGGACAAATGCTCGCTTTCCAGTTGCCTGCTGGACAGCGCTGCAAAGAAATGCAACAAGATCATCAAAAATAAGAATGGCAACCAAAAAAATCATATGATCCACCTCTGAGCATTCAGGCACAATTTTATCCCAAGAGATGTTATTCAAAAACTAATTATTACTGTGATCCCAAGTCAAATGAAAATGTGGCTGCAACATGCAAATAAAGGCAAGTTTTATTCAGTGGCCAAAGTAAAAAAACTAATGTCTATCTGGTTCACAAAACAATTTGTCCCAGGTATTTTTAGTCTTCCTAAATAATAATGTGTTTAATTTATTCTCAGCAGTGTCTCAAACTGAAAAATTGAAATATAATTTCCTTTCTGTGTTAGTACATTTTAGTGTCCTGTGGGTTCCTAAAAAACAGTACAATATGTATTTTTCTCAGTATAGGATTTATTTAGAGATTTTTATAGCCAAATAAATTTTTAATATTCTGGAATTAAAAGTAAAAAAACAAACAAAAAAAACCCAAACCAAAACAAAAAAAATCAAAATTATATCTAAACTTCTTACAAAAATGAATAATCAATATAAAAAACAAAGATGTAATCATTCAAAATGTCACCCCCATCCTCTGCTTTCCTGTTGTGATTTGATATATGAGGTTTCATTACAGAATTAGCGGTGCAATTAATTTTTCCTTGCTTTTTGAAAATGATTTTACTTCATCACCAGAAAATCAGGAAGTGCAAGATGCCTTATTAACAGATTTATTACAAAATTCGTAAACATAGGGTCATCTCTGTATGTAACTACATACTGCAATATTATATATTGCAGCAACTCATTCAACTCTGCTTTAATAAAATTTGAGCAACAAAATTTAGACTCCCTGGGAAATCTCCTAGCATGAAATATTAATCATATTGTTCACCATCCACCTCCCTCTCCCTTTTCTTAATGAGATTTGTTCAAGAGCTCTTTCATCCGTAATTGTAATGGTCCAGTATTTGCTATTGGCTCTGTAATGGCAGGGAGACTTCAAAGTGCCTCAACACTTGTTTCTGAAGCAAAAAAAAACCAAACAGCTTTCATGGAAGACTACACATAGTAACCTTAGGGGCCATATGCAGCAAGAGGTGCAATTCTTGAACCTCACTGGACCTGCTGGTTCTGGTTTGCAGGTGCTCTGCTGGGCCCAACAACTGCACAAGACTCCAGGTGCTTTGTACAAATGGCATTTTAGAACCATTTCATGGATGTCTTGAGTAAGAGTGCTCTTCCTCTGGCTGTTTTTAGCTCCATTTGCAAATACAGGTGCTAATGAGGACAATACTAGATCAACTCAACTATGATCCAGAGCTGCATGAACAATTTGAGACAAGTAATTTATTGAATAATTTCAGTCTTTCATGAACCATTGCTGAACATGTCCTAATGTTGTCAAATGTATTTGCTGATTTAAATTATTTACAGAATATCATGTGCAAATAACTCTTGGCATTAAGATATGCACAAACCAATTGCTGCTAGTTTATGTATTCAAATTCAAATCATTTGACACGGGGCAGATGACACATTTCCTATTCTCTGTCTGCCTTAGAATAATTCTTAGAATTGGTTTTTTTATACGATTATGAAGTTGTCATTCATTTTCAGCGAATATCCTGCAATTGATGCTGGTTGCTAAATATTTCTGTCAGTAATTTAATTTAGTATATTATTTGTGAAGAGCGAATGCAGAAAGAGTATAAAACCAGCCTTGAAAAGAAATGTGTTTGAGAAGACCAAATGAATATTTATGAAAAATACTTCACCAAAGTTTCCTGGCTTTGCAGCAAATCCAACCTCTGCATACGCTTTCAATGGTATTCTCCAGCCTGGAAGGACTCTCTACATTTGAACAAAATATGTTTCTTTTGTAAGGAGCCCTGAAAGCAAGTGCTGCAGGAAAGAGGAAGGTTCACAGCCACAGGGGAGGCTGTGAGGAGCTGTGCAGCAGCAACTGTCCCAATGGCACTAGTTTGGAATAGTGCAGCTGGGATAGTGTGTGCACTGAAGGGGCTGGGGCAGGTGTGTCTGCCCATGGAGATTTTCCTGCTGAATTTACGGGTTTTGTCTCAGGCAATAGCCTTTGCTGGCACAGAGACTGAATAAAGCTGAAAAAACAGCTCAAGAAAATAGGAAGCCTGAAGGCCATATTCACAGTGCTACCGAGACAGTGCGTGGTTATGTGAACTCCAGCGTGCAGAGAGCAAATCCTGGTGGAGAGACCAGTGATGGGAGGAGCTCTTCTGACACTGGGGCATAGGGGCCCAAAAATGATGCTAAGAGGTCCAGGGTTTGCAGGCTTTCTGCTCCTTCTCTCAAAAGCTGAACTGTGCTTCAGCCAAGCCCACAGGAGCTGGCAAACCTCTTCTGGCTTTTACCCGCTGCTTCCTTTCCCCTGGGCTTGGCATATAAAATACAAATGCATCAACACCATAATTAGGCTCACTTAGCCATGTCCTCTGGATGCTATCACAATCCAACTGCTGAAAATGAGTGCTAAATGCTGAAATTGGCCAGCACATGGACCCCTGCTTTGCACTTCCATTGTGGTATTAAATTTCCCCGTGTTTTAGCTCAATCCCTGCTGGAAAAGGCATGATTTGCCCATTTGATTTAATCTAACAAGTAGCTTTCCACTGTCATTCCAGCTTCACAGCAACAGTCTGCGTGTGCAAGCTGGGTTTGAGTGCTTCCCAGCTGCAAAATGAGTTTTACAGTAGCTGACAGCAACTGTGCTGCAATGCAGCTCTGCCCTCCTGAACTAACTGAACCCCAAGCCAAACTGCAAAACACCGCCTGCCAGGAACCAGAGGCAGCCCCAGAAGCAGTTGGGAGAGCTGAACGGTTCAGATTCCTCACTGACAGTGACAGAAACTCCTCTGCCACAACAACGAAGGGACAGAAAAATTCCCCTGGCATCACATAAGGCTGCCTCTGCTGCAGCTGCTCATGAGATGCTCTAATAGAGGATGGGAACATCTTGCTGTAGATACACTAAAGCAGCAGCTGAAAAGTTAGGCCCTACACATATATCCTGATTTAGCTAAGAAAAGTAAAATTGGAAAATATTCTGTTCCTTCTTCCAAGATTTTCTCTTCTTTAAAGTTCTTACAAAATGACGAACAGTAAAATGAAGCAATGTTTCATATTAGATACCGTTACAGATTTCCCAGGTAACATCAGCGGTTTCTAAAATGTATTTCAATCACGTGAATCTGATTAGAAATACTTAGAAAACTCACTTGAAAGTTGGTTCTGTCTGTGACCAGCCAAAGAGAGAGTGTGTGTTATAATGCTCTCCGAGGTAAGTCCTGGAGTCAGGACACAATGTCTTTTGCGCCAGAGAACGATCCGAAATGCCTGAGAATGATACAAAACACTGTAAAATCACATACATCATAATTCAAATCTCTTCACATTCCTACACATTTAGGGCTGAAAACATGAAGGGATTTGGGAAGAGGAAAAGTTCAAGTGCTTAACCTGCACTGATCTGAGGTTAGCATGTAGCCGTGAATAGCTGATGCAGACAGGCACACGTGTCCTCAGAGGGGATGAGAGGACTGATAATTCCTTTCAAGTTCTGTGTCCAATAATTCAAAACATCTGTACAGGTATCATGTGTTTAGTAAGCAATAGTCAGAAGGAAAAATTCTGCACTGCTGAATTAAGAATACACCTACATATTATTTTACACAGTGACAAATCTTAATAGCAAAAAAGAACGAAACAACACAAAACAAAACAACACAAGCAAACAAACAAAATCACCCAACACCAAACAGAAATTCAGATGTCCAGGGAACCTGTATGGTTGTGTGAAATCCTAAAACTTCAGTGTCCATATCACTCAGCCGCAGATGCAGGTAGGCAGCACAGTTCTGCCCTATCCCGGCAAAATTCACACCTAAGCTCAGCTCTGGCCCCTCCCTTGCCCTGAGGCACTCAGAACTGCAAGGCAGCAAGCCTGGTGGCACTGCCGCAAGAGCAGGGAGTGTCGGAGCTGTGCAGGGGAGGAAAAAGCATGAGGTGCAGCAGTCTGCAGGCTGCTGGTTGCTGTGGCCCGATAGGCTGCACAGGAGAGAACCAGGACAGATGACAGCAGGTACATTCACATGTGGATGGATTATCCAGTTACTCTGTCTATCAGCAGGAGACAGGCAGTAGAGGTTGCAGGAACTTTTTGCCTTCAGTAATAGTCAGGAGTAAGCCTGATGTCATTGGCACAGCTGCAGCTGATTCAAAGGTAAGCAAAATGAGGCATAAATTGGCTGCACAGATGCTGCCTGGTCTTTGATCCCATATTAAGGAGACGCTTGCAAAGCCCATTTGGTACAAAAAACATTTTATCCTCTGCAGGTTACTACCATGAAAATGCCACATGAAGCTCAGCAGGAATCAGGCAGGTCAGGTGTTTGGTTTATACAATGTATTTACTTTCAGAGATGGAATTGAAAATGTTATAAAATTTTGTCAAAATAAAAAAGAGGGTAGATGCTCAAATATTCTTCTTTTGCATCCTTAATTAGGTGCATGCACCATTGTAAACATTTCTCCATGAACAAGCAATTTCCCTGCTTAATTGCACCTCCTGTATGTTTGCAGTTCATTACCACAGTGTGCATTTCTCTGTACCTGAAACCACCTCTAGCCTCTCTGCTCTGCTGTGCCACCACAGCTAGAATCCTTGTGTTTGGATCTTTAGACAAGAGACTCCAGTGTGGCTGATCTCCATCAGACATAACTTAATTTATAGGCAATTTTGAAGTAACTTTGACTGATATGTCTTTGAAGAGGACACTAAGGTTCTGAGGAAAGTCACACAATGTCCCAGTGCCACTTGATTATTAGCCCCATAAAATTAAGGTGGGATGGAAAAGAAAATGCTGCCACATGGATCATAGTTTCATTCTTCATTCCTGTTCTGAGTATTTTGTATTCTTCCTCAGTAATACTGATTATTTTACAACTGCATATTAATCTTCAGTATAAAGTGTTTTATAGAAAATTGATTTGAAGGACATCTGTTTTTAGAAGTTCAAACCATGGTTATGTGTAATCATGGTTATAAAATTTAGATTAGGAGGTTGAAGGCTACACTGACAAAAAGCCAGAGGCAGGGACTTGCACAGATGAAATCACCTAGACAATGGTGAGCCCCCAAAACTCTGCTAGCCCCAGGAGGATCCTAATGTCTTGTTGGACTAAGCCACTTAGGTCTCATCTCATACCTACACCAGTTGAGGGCTTGAAGAGCTAAGAGCATGGACAGAGTTGGAATTAAGTGAAATATAAAAGAAAGCTCTTAAACACTGGTTCAAAACCAAGGGATAAAAAGGGATAAAAACACAGGATAAAGGGGTCTCTGATATTTTGGCCATTTTCCCCGAAGTCTCACATCTTTTTCACAGCTCTGAAGGCTGACAAAAAATGAAGGTAACTTAAAGCAAAGATGGGAATCAGTTCCTCAGCTTTGGTCAAGACCCACAGGGCCAGTATGCAGTGGTTTCCACACAGAGAGAGCAAACATCAAAACCGTAATTAAAAGCTCTGCTTCTGCTTTCAAAATTTTACAATCTCTTTATAGTATTTTTTCATGCTTTTGTTATGTTTATGTTTCTCTTATATTCAAAGTAAAAAGAATTGAGATTTAATAAAGAAAATTAAGAATCTCAGAATATGCAGAGTTGGAAGGAACCCACAAGGATCATCAAGTCCGACTTTCAGCCCTGTACAGGAGCATCCCCGAGAGTCACACCACGTGCCTGAGAATATCATCCAAACACTTGACCTCTGTCAGGCTTGGTGCTGTGACCACTTCCCTGGGGAGCCTGTTCCAGCACTCAACCATGACAGTACAAAAGCCTGAAGGGAAAAAGGGAACATTTCCAATATTTCACTGTCAATAACTCATTTATGTATCAACTTCCTGCTGCATATTAACATTGCTCAGGCAGCTGGGCTTTCCTGGGGAAATGTTGGCTGGATTAACTGCCAGGACCACTGGCACTAATTGTAAGTACTCATGGCTTCCTGGGGAAGAATGAGCATATCATTAACTCAGCTACTGGAACAGGTTTTCCCATTCCTATAAGTCTCCCATAGGCTTGGACATATTTAAACATATTTTAGCCCATTTCTAGTAACACAGTGAAAATTTCTTTCCTAAGAGAAAGGAAATGTATTGAATCAGAGAGATCCTCTCTTCGTTGTCATGGTTTGTGAAGAAGGCAGAGACTGCCCATCTTTGAGATTAGCAGTAGTGATGGTAAAGCGGAAGGGTTACTCCTTCCGTAAATCTGTGGCTGAGTTACAGTATGTAGGTGTCTTGCCCTTCTTTTTTTTTGATGCTGACCAGTTGCTCAGAGAATGGCAGGAAAGGTTATTTTTCTAGTCCTTGTTACAAGGCAGACCCAGGGACAGACAAAAGTGGTTGATTTTTGATACTCCATCAAAGCTGAGCCACTGGAGTCTTGAACAGATGTGGAACTGAACACATGGAACAGGCAGGGAGAGATGGAAAATGAGAGGATGGATTTTAAATAACAACAAAAACCCAAACCAAAACAAAAAAAAACCAAACCACACACACACACACAAAACCAAACCAAACAAACAAAAAACCCACCAAAAAAAAAAAAACAAACCACAAAAACAACAAAACAAAAACAAACAAACAAAACACACACACACACACACAAAAAAAACCACCAAGGAAATTTTACTTACTAGGAACGTAAGGAGGATTATTGATTTCATTATCAGCACATCCAGGATACTGGCCTCTTAAGAAATTGGACGGTTCATTCATATCCTTTAATAACAAGAGTAAGACACATGTTAAAAGCCTCATTTTCTTTTTTTTAAAGAAGGGAGGGCAGATATAATGAGACATACAATCCAGATCCCATCATAGTCAAGGACATCCTTAAACTCCAGACACAGCTGGGTCCACCACTCCACTGTCCTGGGATTGGTGTAGTCAGGAAACACGGAGTCGCCGGGAGGCCAGGCCTAGGGGTCACAGGTGTAAATCCTGGTTATTTTCTCATTTCTGTTGCAGAGCTGCTTTATCATTTTGAAGCAGCACTAGACCAAATGCATCAGAAAATTAAAAAGCCCACCTCTCCAACAGCAGGAGTTACACCATCAGAGTTGTTCACCCAGACTCCCATTTCCTGGCCAAGATCATAAGGTTTGTAAGTGCCTGGTTCCTCATCCTTGGTTATGAAAGGGTCCTGAAAACAGCAATTACACTTTCATTATTGAAATCCCAGAGGTAACAATTACTCTTCTATGTGTACATTTTAGAAATATTTGGATTATATTCTTAGTGCAGATTGCAAAAATACTGGAAGAAAACAGGATTAAATTTAATAAGAGTTGAGAGTACACACTGATTTAGAAGAAGTCATTAAAGATATGAGTATTTCTTATATAAGGCAAAACCAATGTAAAATTTTTAAATACCCTCATGTTTATTTTTAATGAGACGTTCTATGTTCAAATTAGTTTATGGAGGCACTAGATTTTACACCCCCACACCAAGGTCTCTGCTATGTGGTGGGGTCCTATGCTGGGCATTCCCACACCTGGACACCTCTGGGTTTCCTCCAAGGTAATCCTTATTCCAGCTGCCTCAGCAGCAACAGCTCAGTGCTGGAATAACTAAAACTTTTCAACACATCCAACCTCAAAAGGACCCCCTTAGCTCTCCATTCAGAACCAATGTTGGACAAGGCTGTTCTATGCCAGTCTGATGCATGTGGGGCCTTACACCTCTGTTCTCTGCATTCACATGTGGGGCATTACGCCTCTGTTCTCCCCAGGCATCACAACCACAGCATTTTAGACTCCATAGCTCATCCTTGCTGCCCCTCTCACTGCTTGGGGTGATCACCACCTCCTATTGCTGTCAGTGGCATTGACACCAAAACTTCTCCGCCTCAGGATGGCCATCAGTAGCCACAAAGCTCATCCAAAGGGAGCCCTGTTGGCTCCTGGGGATGAGGGAGGCCCACCATGCTGGTTAAGTAATAAAGTTATGAATACTTTGAGGTGCCAGTGAATGAAGAGATACTATTCAACTCTGCTCAGCAGTCAGCTGCAGCTAAAAGGAGATAAGTGCACTTTGCAATATGTCCCTAATTGGGAGCAGCTAACTCCTTTTTGTAATTTAGAAGAGATGAAGATTGCAGCCATTTTAGAAGAAGGGAATTCTTTACTTTTTTCTTAGAAAATTTATTCCCTCAGGTTCTGCTTCAAGCAAAACCTTTCAGTTATGAAACACCATAGAGAAAAACACCACTGAAACAATTCTTCCATTCACCTATAGCTTGTGCAATAATTTAAGTGAACTTTAATTGAGATGTGATAGAAGTCTAACTAATGAACTTCTTAGAAAACAAAAAATATCAGATCCCAAATGGTAAGCATCTTTAAAGGCATGTTTTAAAGCTCATTTAAATATCTGAATTAATTGCCTGATTTACTTATAAGCCCTCTGATAGCTATAGCTCTGGTGAGGGAATTATATTCTTCCATGCCTCAAAAACAAAAGCTACAGCTAAATCCCTACTTAAAGTGTACAATTCTGCTTTACTTTACCTATCTAGCTCCAGTGTCACCTTCATAAGGAGTATGAGTGTCCATTACATTTTTAACTAATTTAATAGTTCAACCTTGGAAAAGAGAAAACTGTCCATCTGCAATAATTATGTTATAATTGTAGAAAAGATTTCTCTCAAGGGACTTGAAAGCTAGAAGAAATCAGCTTAATTAGTTACTCCTAATCCAAACTTCTGGTTTCCTTCAGCTGAAAGGTTCATGCCAGGGCACAAATCTAATATATTATGCAGGTTTAGTATTGTCCTTAAGAGAGAAAACCCCCTCCATACATTCAAGGGTTGTTTGTGAGGGAGGAGGTTCATGCCTGTTAAATCTTCCCTAATTCATCTTTAGCAGCTTTTGGGGAGGAGGTGCTGAGCATCCTTAACTCCAACTGACTGCTTAAACACCTGGGAGCACACAGCACTTATCCACTCTGATGCACTTTCACCCATGGCCCCAATCATAGATTTTGATGCACATTTATAAATACTCATCTCTGGAAATCTTAGCCTCTACAGCTCACAGAGCTTGACTTTAAAATTTTAAAGCTACCAAGTGTTATTTTGAATCATAAGCATGTTGCTGTTGACTCGTATTTTGTCACTCATGTCATTCCTAGCTGTTTCTATTTTTAGTGTGATTTAATAGAAGGTATACAAGGTCTTTCATTAAGGCTCCTGCTCAGTAATAATGTTTATCATTTTTCATTATAGTCATAGTTACATTTAGAACTCTGTTTCTAAAGAATATATTTGCTCTGACACAGCCGAAGCATGCACGTTATTTAACGCAATAATGATGGCCAAGCACTGACACTCTTAGTCAGAATTTCCCTTAAATTGAGGTGGCCTCTGAAGGAGGTCAGGGGAGAGAAGTGCTGAAGGCCTGCACTTAGAGGCTGCAGTAATGGAGCCATGCTACTATCAAGGTGACCACAGTCACAGAGGGCTCCCAGCACTGGGGACTGGACCTCCTGATTGTGAGGCACCAGCCCCCCAGGGATGGTGGCACAACTGAGTTCCAGGTCCTGTTCTCAGGCGGGTTACTCTGCACTCCCAAATCCATTTAACAGAGGTTTTACATGACACGAAGTGGCTGCAGTCAGAGCCCATTTCCTGGAATCATCTTGAGGAAGGCAACAATCTGCCAAACTTTGGGAACTCACCCATTACTGTCACTACCTAAAGGGAATCCAAAAGAAAATTGTTCTTTCAGTATCAAACTGGATTATAGTTACCTTGATTGCAATTAGCTTGGCTTTGCTACCACTTGGGAGTGAAACCCTTCATACTGTTGCAGCTCCTGACTCAATTTAGGGGAATGCTTTGCATCACTAAAGAATGCTAACAGACAGCCTTTGACAGGATGTCAGCAACTGTAGTAAAGTGAAAACAGAAAACTTCAGTACTGGTGTAACCTATACTTCACATTAGCTTTTTAATCATGAAGGATAAACTGGCTCAGCTTTTGTTCTTTCTTCGCAGGCTTAGCTAAAGAACTAGAACAGAAGACAGTCCTTAGTTACAGGTTAGTGGCAGGAGGAAAGAAGGGTTTCCTATCTGGATTCCCACTAGCTCACTGCATGACTTAAGAGTTGTAATATTCTTTGCATCTGTCTAACAGCTGAATTTATATAGCAATACCTCCTGCACTGATGTAGAATGTACCATCTGAAAAACTGAAAGGGCTTTAGAAATGCTGTTGAAGTTAAATTTTACAAGTAAGAAGATAATTTAGCTCACTCACTAAATCACAACTGCTTGCCTGTAGTTTCTTACCCAGTAGCAAGTGCAAAACAACTGGAAATATCCTGACATTGATGAAAAAGAGGTGACTGCCATGTATTTATTGAAGGGCAAGATTGCATGGGAAGAGCTACTCCAAACTCCTGGTATTTTGCTCATACATTATTGTTTTGCAAACTCTTTTGAGATAAACCAGTAAATAGGCAGGTGGTATTTAATGTCATATCTCTAGGAGATGAGATAATTTTTAGAGCAGCATTGAGGATACAAGGAGCCTAAACTGCCTAACAGAAGGAGCACTTAGTCTTGACAGCACATGTCCTCACTTACTGCTTGGTTATTTACAATGATGTATCCAGTTAATTTGGGCCTATTTTTGTCTTAAAGTTGCTCTCCATCAGAGTGACTTACTAACCTCTTACTGTATAAACTCTGCCTTGGATCTCCACTGATGGAAACTGATTTCACTGCTGCACCCTGAAGCTTCTCATGGTTTGCAGTTGCAGAAGAAATGAAACTTTCAGGGGAATGTTTGAGATTCATAGCAGCAAACGGAATTATAGTACAACAAAGTGAAGATCAGCAAATAATAAATACAGAGAAGGTACTTTTAAATAAACTATCAAAAAACTCCCACTTAAAAAGAAAACACCCATCTGTGGTGCTGACTAGTCCATCCCCAGTCGTACAAAAAAACTTTACAAAAAATTGTGGAGGAAAAAATAAGGACAAGGAGGCACTTCTGCCTGAATCTGTCTATTTGACAAGATAATGTGATTTTTAGATGAGGAAACTGCAGTGGCTCTTGCTTATCTTGACTCCAGTACACCAGCACAAGGGAAAAAGGAACTGTACTACAATTTAGTACTCTGCTGTTCAGTCTCTCCACCCACAAGCCTTTGATAAGACCCCCTGAACAAGATGAGGAATGTGACCCTTATTTTAAAAGGACTGGATCAACTTAGGGCCAAACATGAATGGCCTGTCCATTATGATTCAGTTGGATTAACTGACTGCAAGCATGGGCCACCAATACAATGTAGGTAAATGTGATGCAGGGCTTTGTCATAGGAGACAACTTTTAGGAGAAAGAAGGAAATAGTGTTCTGTTTCTAAAGTGTTCTCCTAACACTGTGGGGGCATCATCAGGAACACTGGGGAAATCGAGTTATCTGCTATACAAGCAAATGCATTCAAACTGGGGAAATGTGAGGGAGAGCTACTATAAGGTGATCTGAAGACCTCACCCAATAAAAAGAGCATAAGATACTTCATTTTGTTTAGTTTAGGGAAAAAAAGGCTGAGGGAGAATATACTTGTTCGAATCAGTGTATCAAGAAAGAAAACAGAAAGGTGAGAGATTGGCAATTTGAGATAAATAAGAATAATAGTACCCAAATGAAAGGTGTCAACTGACCATTTAGGCAGAAAACAGATGACTACAATTACAGCAAAAAGTCCTGAGAGGGACCCTGTGGGACTGTCTCCTTCTCCTCACACTATGGCTGTGGGTCAGCTCAGCCTGAGCCATCCTTGATGCATCTGTCAGACCTGTTCAGAGCACCTGCCTGGGGAGGGACCCTGGCCATGGCAGCTGGCTTCCTGCTCAGCTCACTTTGCAGACAGGCAGCCTTACACTAATGTCTACCTTAAATCTGTCCTGCTGCCGTTTAAAGTGCTTTTCCTCTTATCCTGTCCCCAGTGGTTATGGAGAACAAATTGCATCCCGCACTAGGGAGTGCAGCCCTCCCGGTGCTGCGCTGCTGGGGGACTCTGGAGAGCAAGATCTTGTGAATCTATCAGGGGATTTTTTTTTAATTTCCTATTTTATTTAAATCTGTATTTAAATTTCAATTTAATTGGTCTCCAATTCCCTTGCCACCACTGGCTCTCACTTAGCCCTTGTGACAGAGAGTCATTTTGGCACAAGGACATGTATGGGGATGTGATGGAGCCAAATAGCAAATTTTTTTTGGATAAATTAACTGGGGAAGATTGAAAGCTCCAATTTTCACTTCTGTCCAAGTTAATTCATTTGGCCATATGTCAATTTTGGTTAGAGGTTCAACATACATTTTCCACAATTTTTCATGCAAATAAACATCTCTTACATTAATTTAGGTAAAATGTAAGTTCAAGACAACATGAATTATAGTTACTATCTTCCAGAGTGATTATGAATAGACTTTTTCCTCTATTCAGCTATTTTTGTATGTCTTAAATTAATTTTATTTCTTTTCAGGCAAAGAATAGTATGAAAGCAATCCTATGTCAACTCAGCCCTGAACAGAGGCAAAATTTCTCATAACTGAGTGGGAAAAAGTGACAGAGAATTAATGTTTTGGTATAGAGATGGTGCTGGTACACAGATATCCAATAAATTCAACCTTTTTAAATATGAAATCTGTGAGAAATTGTTCTTGATCAACAAATTTCTCAACAAATGACAAAAATGGAAAAATCTGCCACAATAGTATATGTCTATTAGCACCTAGGTACTGCTGTGAAGACCATACTGTGAGTAGTTCTTATAAATGGAGAAATAATTAGTAACATTGTTAATTTACCAGAATCACAATATTGTGCATTCCTTTCTTCTTCAGCTCCTGGATGTACTCTGGCAGACCGGCAAAATTCACTTTATCATAGGTAAAGTCCAGGCGACGTTCCATGTAGTCAATATCAAGATGCTGGACGTCCTAAACATTTTTAGAGGAAATATGACATAAATACTTCATCCATCTCTGGAGTTCTCAGCACATGGAAGACATGGATCTGTTGGAGCAAGTCCAAAGGAGGACCACAAAAATGATCAGAAGGCTGAAGCATCTCTCTTAAGAGGACAGACCGAGAGAGCTGGAGTTGTTCAGCCTGGAGAAGAGAAGGCTCCAAGGACACCTTATGGCAGCCTCTCAATATTTAAAGGGGACTTAAAAGAAAAATAGGGTCAGACTTTTTACGTAGGGCCTGTTCTTCTGATAGGAGAAGGGGTGATGGTTTTAAACTAAAAGAGGGTAGATTCAGACTAGATATAAGGAAGGAATTCTTTACAATGAGGGTCGTAAAACACTGGATCAGGTTGTTTAGAGAGATGGTAGATGTCCCAGTCCTGGAAACATTCAAGGTTAAATTGGATGGGCAGCCTGGTTTAGTTGAAGATGTTCCTGCTCTTTGCAGGGCAGTTGAACTAGATGGCCTTCAGTGGAAGTATTTGATACAGAAACTGGAGCGTGTGCAACTCCATTTCTAAAAGGCAACTAACTTATGAAATGAAACCTAAGAGATTGGCTGTAATAACTGTAGTCCTACAAACTTACATGGTAGAAATGGACAAAATGAAAATGTAGAAGGCCTAGTTTAGCAACTATTTTGCAGTGATCTGCATCAGAAGTGCCATTATATATTTTTAAAATGCTAGCATCTCATACTGCATAATAGCAAATCCACAGAAGAATCGCCTGCTATGCAGCCAAGAGCAGCACTTAAACCTCATGTTAAAAGCCCACTTTAAATGTTCTTTTAAGCATTGTGAAGATATTACAGGGAAAAGGACTACATGTGATTATGAACATCCTTTCATTCTACAATTCTTGTAGGATAATTATTTTTCCTCTACTGTAATTTTATTCACCTCAGTTCAGATTGTAAAATCAGCATACGCAGTGCAAAATCCATACTTACATATGGGATATCATAGCGGTGCATACGATCGACAGTTTGCTTTAAAACATCAAGGCTGCCATAGCCCCAGCGGGAGAGCTGAAATCCCAGAGACCAGTAGGCTGGCATGTGAGGGCGTCCAATGGCCTGCAGCAGGAATGAGGGGTACAGAAATGCAAGAGGTGAGATGAGAAGTTATTCTGAAACACCAGGAGAGGCTTCCAGAGCATTTAAGCCACAAAGATCAGGGCACAGGCATTATACACCCATTAAACACCCTTTCCTGTCTCTGAGTAACTCAGTACAGTATGCCTGGCTCCAAAAAAGTGCTTCTCCTGGTGGATTCTTGTGCTTCACAGAGGCTCCAAGCAATACCCGCACTGAGCATCACTTCTAAGGACAGTAGAAGACAGTCTATAAACCCCAGGCTAATGTTAAATGAGGGCTTTGATGAGGTCTCAGCCTCTGCCCAGTAGCATACGTGCCTTCACTTACAGAGCACATGCCAGCAGAAATCCAGTGTGGATCCTCATGCCACCCAACCCATCCCAAGTCCACAAACCCCTTGGTCAACAGCAAGCAAATCTCCAACATTATACAGCAACATAAGCTTTGCAAATGTCTCTTGCCACATACAGATGAACTAACTCATCAGGAGTCTGATGTTTACTTGAGCTCTCTGAAGTTCTAATTATATTTACACACCAATCTGATGAAATTCAGTTACTTATGGCTGACTGCTCTTACTGCTGGCCCACAGCCTTGTGTTGCCAGGCATTGAAAACCCTCTTCAAGGTCAGAGCTACTGTTTGGTCCTGAAATTCTCAACTGAAACACAAGGTAATGAGTTAAATATGATTTTATAAATATTTGATTTCCACTGTCTGAATTTAATCCATCTGTAAATGGCACGAGGAAACTCAATTGAGAGCACAGAGAAGCAAGGCATCCTGCTCTGCTTCCCCCTGTTAGAGCTGCTGTGGTAACCTGGGACGAGCAGTGGGCAACCATGATGTGTCTGTTCTACAAATAAACTGAAATCTGGCATTACCTCATTAGTACACACTAGTGTTTTCTGGGAGAGATCTCTTGAAATCCTTGAGTTAAATCCCACGAAACTAACCTTTGTATTGTATTTCTAACACCTTCGCAGACAATACATGAAAAGCAAGTAGCTAGTAAGCACCCATGACTTATTAATCAGTTGCAGATATTGCCCCTTTTGGCTAAATAACCATTCCTCTCTTATTTCCCCATGGATCTCCATAGTTAGGTAATTATACTAAGAATTGAAAACCAAAAAAACTTGTGTATTGGCAGCTAAACCTCATCTACTGTAAATAAATAAAACAAGGCACTTCTGGCACTCGTATCTATTGCAATGCTAAGCTCTCTGGAGGTACATTGCATAAAGTCACACCTTCCTATGGGATTTTCTCCAGGAAGCCTGACCTGGGAAAGCAATGCTGACCTTGAAATTGCTCTAAAATACATCACCGATGCTGGAGCTGGTGGGATGTACAAAGTGCACCAGACACAAAAACAGATGTGGGAGAGAGGCAGGGAACAGCCAAGGATGTTTTAATGCACCTGAGCTGGGGAACACACAGGGTAAATTGCTTCCAAACAAGAAAGGCTTTTGAATGCACCGTTGAACTTGAGCACTAAACATTACAGCTTTGGCTACAGTGTGCTTTGGCTAGTTGGCATGCTGCTATCTCTCCTAAGAAAAAACAGGAGGAGGCCAGAACAATTGGTGAGGTTAATCCTTTGAGTCTCTCCAGGAGGGATGCTTGGGCTGATCAGCACAACTGCCCCCTACACCTGCTTCTTGTCCTGTTCCTCCAGGCTTAACTCTTTCCACCTTCCTGAACACCCACTTCTCCTTCAATTCAGCTGGAGGCTGGGCTCTGCAGAGGAAGCAACGACAGCTATCAGCAGCGTGTTCCTGCTGCAGTGGCACCCAGCCTTTGCTGCACGCTGCTGTACCCTCCAGGAGAGGCCATAGAGTGAGAAAGGGGGTCCCTCCATGTAGGGGGAGGCTGATGGGCAGACACACACCATTGTTACCCTGCTGCTCTCTTGCCTGATTGCATGTGTCATTAGTTTTTTCCATTAGCTCCATTTTTCTGTTAGTTTTATGTGGACACATCTGATCACCCAGACCATCTTTCAAGCTCTACTGGGGTTTTCTGTGGAGAGCTGAGTGGGCCATGATGGTTCAGGATAACCTCCCAGACCCCCTGTGAGCCAGCACCAAGGTGTCCAACACAGCATGACAAGCCACAGGGCAAGAAGTCTGCTTCTCTGTCACACCCACACTCACCATATTAAGGATAAATTCACCTGGGGAGGCAGCAGAGTTTGTTTTAGACCAGCAAAGGCTGCAAGATGAGTTCTGTGAACCCCACCACTTTGTGATCCTAAAGCATATGCATATTTTGCCCTTGCTTTCTCTACTGTAACCAGAGAATGACCTCTACAAACAAGATTAAAAAGAAAGATCAAAACAAAAGAACTCCTTAATGAAATAAAATACTCTGTGCACAGGCTTCTCGCCTGGGACAAGAGGAAGAAGGAAAAGCAACTGATAAATATTAATCCTGTGGCTAAATGCAGAGCCCTGTGCCCTGGCAGGATGTCTGCATGGCATCTGCTGCCTCTCCCCGGACAGGCTGGAAAATGGGAAAGGGATAACCAGCCCAAGCAGAGATAGTGGGAATTGCTGGGCAGCCCTGCTGAGTCCTGTGACACCCTGGGTCACTCCTGGCTAGGCAGTCAGGGACATCACCAATACAATGTAGTTCAAGAGTGGGACAGGGATTTCCTTCTTCCCCCATATCCTATCAAGGACCCAGGTGGACACACCAGTGTGTGACCAGAGCCTTCCCCAAAGGGACAGCCCCAGCACAGGGGTTTGCTGAGGTTCAGCTGCTCACCCTTGTGGGACAGTGCTGTGTCACTGGGGACCACAGAGCGAGATGGTATTTGTGACAGCATTGCTTGAGGAGTTTGGGGCTACAGCTGAATCAACAGAAAAGTATCCACCTTGCAAGTAAAATACTAAGTTTTTGAAGCAATTCATTCTCTGGGTTTGCTAGGCTGGTGCATCCATGGTGAGCTTAATTGAAACCAGCAGAACATTTGAAAAGGAAGGATGAAAACAGGGCAGCTGGGAAAACAAATGTTCTTTTTTCTAATTATGCTGCGGACTCACTCTAATGGATCCCCCTGAAGCTTCCTGATAAAGTAACTGACATATGGTACCTACTCACAGATGGATCAGCAGAGGCAGGAATGCAATTCTGCAAACCTGAAAACTCAAGTTTGGATTTGATATATATTTAGGATCTAGTTAATTCATATAGATTGCATTCTGCATACCAATGATCATAAAGTGCAGCAGGCAGAGAAAGCCTGCTTGGCAAAATTGACTCCCATAGAATCAGAAAAGGTAAATGGGGTATGGCAAGGGAACTGAAGGAGGAAAATGCAGAAACAGCAAACATATGGGTTATCCAAACTGAGAAAAAAAAAAGGGCAAAGACAGGGTACTGCAGAAGCAGTAAAAAAAGAAAGATTCTATTTTTTGTTCCATAATTCCTCCTGCACTTGCTTCTTAAATAACTCCTGCTGTTGTTTAATAAATTCACTGTTAGTTTTTCCATGTTTATATAACTTGGCATTATGGTGTGGGTTTTTTCACTTTTTTCAAATGTACCTGAGAGCTGATGTATCTACGAGGTATCCTGGAAGTGTTTTACAGGAAGAACAAAGTTCAGTGAAAACATGTATATATAACAGCTAAGATCTGTGTTTAGGGAGCAGGTGATATGTATTCACATTCCTTTTGTTGGGTTATTGGACAAATCAAATTATTAATATGAGCATCAGTGATATGAACTAGGTTATAAATTGTATAGAGTAAATCAGGATCCTATTCTCTTAACACTATGACCAGACTTTGATGAGAGAGATATGGCTGCAAAGTTATGACCTGTATATCATATAGGTTGGACAGAGAGATTCTTTCCCATGCTAACAAAAGAGCTGAGATGTCCAGCAGTACAGGTAAATGGACTTAACATGAAAGACTGCTAATCTTGCCCCCTAGCTAGCCATACAAAATGACTCTTGAAGCTTGATATTTGCCTAAACTCCCTTTCTTCAAAGAGGAGTTGTAGGAGGAAACTATAAAAACCCAAGTGGGCTAATGCTCTGAATTTAGACACAGAAATAGTGTCTTTGGATAGTCCTACAATGGCTAAATTTCACAAGTGCTCCTGTGGCCCAGGTATCTGTATCCAGCTCATCCTCTATGGCTAAGGCAAGCAAGTGAGCACTGTGGCCACTGGTCAGGCAGAGGGCAACCTTCACTCAAAGTCTATGCACAGAAGCTGAGCTTTCTTTTAGCAGAGCAAGAAGAAAGGCCCTGCAGCTCCTGAACAATTCAGAAGATGCTCAAAACCTCACTAAAAATTTTAAGGGTTTTCAATGCCACGGCCTTCAAACATTGTTCTTTGCTGCGCAAAACACTTATCAGCTGCTTATTCTTTCTTGGGGGACCCATGAATTCATCTGTGAGACTCACTGAATCATCTGTGATAAACTCTAGGTACAAGCAGATTTTTCATGTTACCTCTCAAAGAGGAGACTGGACTAGAGACCTCCTGAGGTCCCTTACACCCATAACTAACCTACACTCCTGTAAGGAGGAAGCAAGCCAGGAATTATCTCTCAAAGCAGCATTAGGAGACATGCAGTATGCTCACTTAAAGCTTGTTATAATTTGTGATAAAATAAAAAATTCACTGCCTTTACTCCACCCAAGAGCTATTAAAAGCCCATTTGTTGAACACTAACTTTCCTGAGTGCTTGCTATGGAGCTGATGCGCTACTGCTACACACTGTTGGTCTGTTCTGGAAGGCCACCAGTGGTCTTGGCAGTGGCAGTCTGGTATCAGGTGTGACTACAGAGCCTTAGCCAGGTTCAGCTCAATGGCTGAGCTCTTTAGTTTGTTACTGCTTTTCCCCCACTCCTGTAAACTGAGGTGCTTGTCATTAAAAGTGAGATGTGTGTTATACACCTGTCCTGTATATCAGACCTCTTCCATAGAAGGAGAAAAATGTGATCACTGTCATATATATACATATATATATATATATATGTGCAGGACCATCTTGGATGTACCAAAACCAATGCTCCTCACAGGAGCTCAGGGGACAAGAGGGAGCAGAAGAATCAGGCTGCACTATGCCCAGCACTCACCCTACAGCTGCTGTCACCACTGTATCACTCTGGTGCCACTGGCAGGATGCATCCTACAGCTTACCTCTGCTCCACACAAAACAGAGCAGAGGGACAGAGCCACCTACATTTAGTCCACTGCTCTCTTCTCAGACCTTGCCTCACTCTTGGAGTCCATTTAAAGCAGATTATCCTGGGCCAAGCTGCCACCTGTCCTCACTCCAAGGATGCACAGAGAGGCTGGTGGCCCTGACAGGGCAGCTGCAATCAACCCTGATCACCACACAGGGAGCCCTGCTCTTGGCATAGCCTGGGCCCAGTGGCTCTGGGAAGAGTTCATGGTCCACCTCTGGGTGCTGGGGGCAACCTGGAGAGGTGCACAGGGAAACCTTGCATACTCCAGAGACCCAGTAAAGAGCTTTGTTACAGAGGTGTCCTAACTGACTGGTTTGGAGAAAGCCACATGAAAGCACAGAGCAGAGCCAAGCTGCTAAACCTCTCACAGAAGCAAGCACGGTAGGGGCCAGAGGGGTTGCTCAGATACTGAAGTGTCACTGAAAGCAACAGCCCAAAACTTGAGAAAGGTATGGAGCACCTTGTTCTGGACACAACTCCCTTGCTCTCAACAGCCATGCACCATCTGGCACCTGGCCACCCTGCCATCCTGGGGACATCCTAGAGATATAATGGGTGCTCCCTGCAAAAAGCAGTGATTTGGGGCAGATGCTTGCACAGGTGGAAAGTGGGTGGAAAGTGGAAAGTGGATGGAAAGTGTCATTCCCCCAGGAAGCTCATTGCAGCAGTGCAGCCTGGTCCCACCAGGGTCCCTGGCACCCAGGATCTCCCAAAACACCACTTCCCAGAGGAGACCCATGCTGACAGCTGAGAGAGCTGAGAGCTGAGCTGTGCCTTGCAGACATCGGTCACACTCCTCCTTTCCACCCCTTCTCCTTCCCTGCGGCATGACAATGACTGCACAGGAAAGTCCTCTCAGTGTGACAGAAAATACAATTGAAAAATAAAGTCTTTTCTCTCTCCTTCACCTTCCCACAGATCTTGTACATAAAAGCCAAATCATTACCCTAGAGACTAATACTATGGTAATTGTAACATTTGCGACCTTGGAATTTCAGGATGTTTACTGAAGAAGTTATTATTTCACTGTGAAATTAATAACATGCATTCTTTAAGATTCCCTAGAGAGCAGAGCACAAGCTCAAAGAATACAGAACAGGAGATTTTTTTGGTCCTGCATGTGACATGTCTCATTAGGAGACACCCACTGCTCTCCTTTACCTTGTTTTCTTTCTCCAGCTCCATTTCCAGAGACAGGGGTGGAAAGTGAGCTGCCACAACCCATCAGCTGGGGAGTGAGAACTCCCTCATTTTATTTTCAGCTGCTGACCACCTGCTAAGCCACAGAAATGCTGCTTTCAAACACCAGCAACAGACTTTGAAAAGAAACAGGGATGGCTCTAATCTGCATTGCACTGCTGCACTAACTCCCCTGAAATGTGGATCAAAGCTGCAGCCTGGGGGAGAGTTGCTTTACTTATTTTTCTTTTTTTTCTTTCTTTTTTTTTTTAATACTTTTTTTTTATTATTCTTGGTTTTATTTCCCATGTGTAAGTTTAAAACCCAGTTTACTTGCTGGTCTGTGTCACTGGAATCAGAGGTGGTGTGTGCTGGTTTTGGCTGGGATAAAGTTAATTTTCTTCACAGTAGCTGATATGTGGCTGTGTCTTGGATTTGTGCTGAAAACAGTGGTGATAATTCAAGGATTTTTTTTACCACCTCACCAGGTGAGGAGGCTGGGGGTGCACAAGTTGTTGGGAGGGGACACAGTGGGAACAGCTGACCCCAACTGACCCAAGCAATATTCCAGACCATACAGCATCATACTCAGCAAATACAGCTGGGGGAGAAGAAAAGAGAGTGGGAACCTTTGGAGCGATGGTGTTTGTCTTTCCAATTAACAGTTACGTGTTCAACCATTTCCCCATTTCCTGGGGATGGCTGAACACCTGACTGTCCATGGGAAAGTGGTGAATGAAGTCCTTGCTTTGCCTTGCTTGCGTGCATGGCTTTTGCTTTACCCATTAAACTGTGTTCATCTCAACCCACGAATTTTCTCACTTTTACCCTTCCAGTTCTCTCCCCCATCCCACTGAGGGGGTGGGAGCAAGCAGCTGAGCTGCTGGCCAGAGTTAAACCATAACAGGTGACTGGTGGGGACAACGTGCAGAGGGAGCTGAAAACTCCCAAGCAACAGAACAGTCGCTCCTGCTCTGGGACATGGAGGGGCACCATCAGCCTCCCACCTCTCTGGGAGGCACAACCTGAACCTCTGCATGGAAAAGGAAGGTCTAACAGAACCTACCACCCTGGTAGTCTGAACCACAGTATTTCTGTTCCCATTTCAGGTACTTAAAAAGAAGGCAAGCATAGGATATTGAGGCTTTGAAAAGCCAGGAAAGACAAAAGATTTGCTAAAGATCAGAGCTCAGGCCCCTTTGAGGGGTGCTGCAGGGGAAAGCAGAGCACATGCACCTCTCACTGTGAGCCTTGAGTGCCCAGCTCTGCGATGCTCTACCACAGGCTGCTCAGCACTTCCAGTTGCAGCCTAATTCTCTAGGTCTGCACACATGACCCCTCCTTCTCACAGCAGCATGCCCCTTCTCAGCTTTGCTCCACATGCTTTAAATTTGACACTGATTTCTTTATGTACAGAGCTTAGGTCTGAGGTGGCGATTCTCTGTGCAAAGGCCCAGTTAACGCATCACCTGGAATTTGGTGATGAGGGAAAACATTTCATCTGCTACTTTTTATTTGTGAAGTCCTCACTAGGTAAGAATTGCATGTACACTTCCAAAACAGCCATCTGCATGTGTAGTCTCAGTTCTCTGGAAAACACTGGGCAATTGGAAAGAAAGTAGTTGCGCTCTGTGAGACAGCAGTAAATGTATTGTTTCACATCTATGCTCTCCAATGCGATTACATGCAATTTTCATTAGTAAAAAACAGGCTGACGGTTCCAAAATCAACAGGCAATTCCACTGGCAAATAAAGGCTTGAAGCCTTTTAAGTCCATCCAACACCTCGGAAATCCAGCACATGTAAAGTTCCCAAACATTCCCATCTGCATTCTGCCTATTTTTTTTCCATCCACAGTGTCAGAATACAGTCATGGTCATGCAACAAAGACTGTAAAATTATGACAGCCCAGAGAAGAGTAAGCTTAAACAGATTCTTTTCTAATCATTGCATCCCTTTAATGTACTCTTGAACCCCATTCTGAAACACTGCAGGAAAGGTTGGAGATGTGCACTGAACACCCAGCCAGCCTGCAACACTCAGACTGCTCACAGATGCTGGAGCATATGCCAGCTTTCTCACGGATCTGAAGTTACAGCTCTGTACAAACAGATCACGACAACTCTCTGGATGCACTACCTAATACTACCAGATCCTGATGGGACTTTGTTGCAAGACACTGCCCCGTGTGCCCTATGCACTTTTCTACTAACCTCAGTGTATTCCTGAATGACATTTTCAGGGGTCGGTCCCAGGAAGAGATAGAAGTCGAAGATCCCTCCAATAGTGCGGAAAGTCAAAGATGGGTTTGGAGACAGAGTAACATCTAAAAGGGAAAAAAAGATGTTCTGAGTACAAACCAGCTCTGCACTATACATGGGAATGAATCAAGAATGGATCAGGGGATGCTGAGACTTGACATTAGGAAGTATTTCTTTGCCAAGAGAGTGGTCAAACACTGGACCAGGCTTCCTAGAGATGTATGTGGTCAATGCTCCAAGACTGTCAGTGTTTAAGAGGCATTCAGACTGGCATTGTGCAGCAATACATCACAGAAACCCCCACAGAGCAGATTGCATAGGTCCATTTATTTCAGTTTCATTTATATAAAAAGGATCAAAAGCTTGTGTTTAGGGTTCCTCTATGCTATTTTAATCTTCTTATTGGATGCCATTGCTTGCCAGGGGAAAGTGATTTTATAGACTATGTGAAGATTCCCATTTTCTGAAATTATACTACTAGATTAATAAAGTAAGGTGACCATGGCAACATACAAAACTATTCTCCACAGATAGAACGCAGGACCAACTTAAACTGATTTGATTTAGTTATGCCAATCTCAGAGAGGAAATTTCCTACACCTTCTTCTTTCCCTCTATGTATATCTATATTCAAAAAAAAGTTTAGCATATATTTTCTCTGAAAATACCTTACCTTGTTAAACAGTCATTCTAATGAAATCCTTTTGAAAACTCCATAGTAATTCCTGGAAGCTTAGTTAGGGAACAGTCACTCATATTTGTATCACATTGAAAAAGCAGTTTTGTATACTTACTGACCTATCATCTTTCTATATGCAATCTATATAGGAAATCCATATATCTTTTTACCTTGTGCATTGGAGTTCAGAAGGAGAACACCATGGGCATTGGAGTCAGGTTCTACACACATGTAGAAAGGGTGAACTCCATAGAGGTTGGCAAATGACTGAAACATAAACAGCACATGAGGTATGGCTTGACTTTGCTATTTTTCATAGTTTTGTCAGATAGCTACATATGCATAGACAAGGAAATTCATTCATAGTTAGACTTGTTTTGAAAGGTGGGGGATTTTTCCATCTAAACTGGAGTGAAGTCAAATTGATAGAAAAGAGTTATTTTCTCTGCCTCATCACAATGGCACTTCTTAATTTTTCTCACTTAAACCTTTCATATTCTGCCAAACCCTCCAAAATGGCATGGGTAAGAATCACCTGCTAGTTAAAACAGACTCATCAACCACTGACTCCAGTTTAGCCAAATATCTAATGAGTCCTGCTGAAGTCCAGCTTGTTTGGATGAACAGAGATTGATCTGAGCATGAAATTTAATGCTTTTCTGAACCAGAATCTTGGCGCACAAAATACTTTTTTCTGAAAACTGCACTGTGAGAAAGTTTCTGATGAAAGGTTTTTAAGTACCCTCAAAATTACTCAAGGCTTCAAAATTTAATTAAAACTGATGATATCTGCAAAACTTGTGAGGTTCCATGCTTGTTATCTCCTTTCGGTGATACAAGTGAGGACAAAGTGCTGCATGAACTGAATTACCGTTGGTGCCTGATCCCTCGTGTACATGCCATAGGTTTTGAAGTCCATGTTGTGTTTGAAGGTCGGGTGCTCATGCTCACCAAACCCATACACAGAAGTAGAGGGCACAGTAGTGGTGATCTGAAGGAACTGGTTGGAGAAAAACAGGTCGACCAGGGGACTGTCCCACCTGTGACAAACAGAGGGAGACATGATTAGTTTGCTTATCCTTGGTATGTATAATCTTAAGTCCACGCCTGGCTATTTATACTTTTTATGTCTTTTGGAGAATAACAATATTAAAAAATATTAAATTCTATGCATGCCTCTGACATGCTTAACCTAACATGCTTTAAATTCATCTTGCAATGGCTGCAGATATCTCACCTACTTATACAAAAAATGCATCAATATAATTTTGGAAAAGAACAACTAAAATAAGAGAAGACACTATCTATAAACCTATTACCAAAATAAGTGGTTGCTTGTGATATTTCTATGACAACCAACGCTAAAGGCTAAAAATTGTTATTACATGGTGGAGTTCAGAATTCTTAATGAGAACAACAGACATTTACTTTTTATCAGCTTTTAGTTTTAATGTTTTTCTGTATCAGGACCTGAATACCTCATGTTATCCCCATCTTCATGCAGGTGCCTAAGGTAGGAGCATAGCTTCCTCCCGAGTCTGCTTGAACAAGATGTTTTTATTGTGATGACTCTCTCCTGCTTCTCTCACTAGCTTAATGCCTTTATTTCTACTGAATCATCTGTGGACACCGGCTCACATTTTAATTAGGTGTTACGTTCTGTTTCCTATCTCTAGTGATATGATGAGCTGCAAGCTAGATGGTGGAGAAAAGAGTCAAGCTGCAGAGAAGTGTTTTGTTAATGGTCCTGTGTATGCCACAAGTACCACATTTAAATAGCACCCTCTCAAGCCTTGTTTAACTGTGAATTTGTTACAGATAATTAAAATAAATGAGCCCAAACCATGGAGCGCAGAAGTGGCATAACTCTCCTTTTAATGGTCTTCTGTCAATGATTTTGACAAAATTAAATGGTTGATGAAATTGACTGGTAAATCAGAGAAGAGGAAGATGGGCTGTGTCGGTGGGGAGCAGCGCTGTGCCCACGAGGGGAGCACTCCCTGGTGATTGGCTTGCCACCCGTGCCACCAGTACCCCTGCCTGGGGACAACTCCCTGCTGCTGGGAGGACTGGGAAGGCACAACTGCTCCCACCACACTGGCCTGCTCTCCTCATGAGGAAGCAAGGACAGCCACTCACTGGGATGCTCAAGTCACCCTTTTGCCTCTCCATGCAAAAAGCAGGCCCAATCTATCCCTAAATTGTCCCAGACAAATCCGAAGTCAAGCACACAAATCCGAAGTCAAGCACACATACTTGAAGGGTTCGTGTATTTTTTTCTTACAAGTAGGAAAACTAAGAATTTTATTTAGCTCTTGGTTTGTTTTGTTTTGTTTTTTTTCTTGCCAGCAGTAACCCCTCCCTCCCTTCCTTTCATCAGCTTCTCCGCCTACACGCAGCACCGAATAAGATTATTTTCTTTTAGGAGGGTTATGGACACAAAATATCCCTGATAATTAGATCCAGCCCTTGGCAAACAGAGGCCTTTCTGCAAGAGGCTGCTGCTGTGTGGGAATAGGGGTGGGCTCTGGAGCTATATTCCTGTCCAAAGGAGAGCTGTCACACAGCTCTGCTCTGTGCCAAGGCAGGAATGGTCACGGCTCTGAGCAGACCGCAGGGTTATGCAAAAAGCAAAGGATGCCAGAGGGGAAATGCTCTGGGAAGAGCTTAAATATCTGTCCTAACTCATTGAGCACTCTCCATGATGTCTGTTCAGAGGACATGAGGCTTTGTACATTTGTAGTATCCACATTACAGCACTGACATTTCCCATCATGAGAGCAATTAGTGTTACCATGGCATTAAAGTACTTCAGCTCAGCAACTCCCCTCCCTAACCAGTAGAATCATTGGGGTGGTGCAAACTGCAATCCTAAGAACAAACCCTCTGCCCCACCATATCTTTATATGTTATGGAGACATTGTTTTATGACTCATGCATTCCTTCAGGCAACTGTCACGTACCCAACTTCTGCATGACATCGCCAAAACAGTGCCCTGCTCTGCACCCCTCCATCGCTCAGATCCCCTAGGGCTGCCACCCCCACCAGTGCAGCTCCCCATGCGGTGCCACCAGCCATTGCCCCCCCAGCAGCCCCCTCTTTCCTTAGACCTCCACGCACCAGCACAGCTATGCACTAAACACAGCATTAACCAGGACATAAAAAGGCTGGTAATAACTCTCCCTTTTTTCCTGGGCATCGTTATGTCATCTCCATCCAGAGGACAGCATGGTCAGGTTTTCCCCTTTCTCTGCCTCCATTCCCAAGCAGCTTCCAGAGTCCTTGTGCTCTGCAGTGCACTGTAGTAGGCTGTTCTATTACTTTACATGTTTGCTGGTGTGGTGTTGGCAAAGAACAACCATTTAAATGAGAAAATTATGTCTGTCATTCCTTAAACACTTGGATACAATAAACAAAAATATTCTATTTCTCCCACCTCCCCTCCTGCTGGTTTAAAGCAGATAGAAGGAACAAAAGAGGAGAGAGCATAAAATGACATCCTGTGTGCAGGAATTTGCACGGTTCTCCTTCAAGAGCCCTACGAACCATAACGGTGCTCTAATGGACAACAGAAAGGATCTAAAAAAAAATCTAAAAATACAGCTGAACAGTCATTCACTGTCAAAAATTCAATCCCTACCAGCAGTTAGACATGGCAAAGCCTTAGAGGATGAGAACCCTTCTCTTTGCTCAAGGAGTAATAGCTGCACACATGTTCACTGCTGAAAGTCTTAACCTCTTAGTGTGTCTGTGGTGGGGACACTCCTGCCCATGAAAATACAAACTGGCCTCCTTAACACCTGCCTGGTCTGTTGCCTGCAAACAGTCAGCTGAGGCCTGTCCTGGGAGTCTGACTGGTGAAAGCTAACATTTTTTTCCAAACGCTGTGCACTACACTCAAGAGTAAATCTCTCTAATTTTTAACCTCTTATCAGGAAAAAAGAATGATTCAGATTGAGAAGGTCTGTGTAAAAATTAACATTTCTGGCCAGCAAGGGAACTAGTTTCATACCCAGCAGTCAACCCACCGGCCACCAGGATGAAACATAACTGCAGAGGACCGAGGAAGCAGTATTAAAGGAAGGTGGGTAGGAAGATAGATAAAACATCCTGTTCATGTTGTAGTTCATGACTGACATTGTCACAGTGTTAGAGGGGCATGACTAAAAGGCAGTACAAAATGGTTTTCAGGGGTGCAATCATCAGTCCTTTGTAACATGAACTGGACATGAGAATTTACCTGTTTGAACAGCCTTGCTCCACTGAGGTTTGTTGAGACCAATAAAAGCAATATGTACAATGGCTCAAAGCACAGACTCACCTGCCATGAGCAAGCAGCTGGTGGCACTTCTAAAAGTGGTCTTACAAAGCCTCTAGAATTAGGAGACTTTAGACACTAAATTCTGGTTTTGGCTGGAGTTAATTTTCTTCGTAGTAGCTGGTGTGGGGCTGTGTTTTGGATTTGTGCTGGAAACTGTTGATAATTCAGAGATGTTTTAGATATTCCTGAGCAGTGCTTAGCAGAGTTGAGGCCTTTGCTGCCCCTCATGCTGCCCCACCAGTGCGTAGGCTGGGGGAGTGCAAGTGGCTGGGAGGGGACACAGCTGGGACAGCTGACCTCAGCTGACCCCAGGGATACTCCAGACCATATGGCTTCATGCTGAGCAATAAAACTAGGTTGGCTGGCAGACTGCTGCTCAGGGACTGACTGGGCATCAATCTGCTGGTGGTAAGCAATTGTTTTCATTTGCATCACTTTTCTTGCTTGGGTTTTATTTTTCTCTCTGTTATTTTCCTTTTAATTGGATTATTATTATTATTGGTGGTGGTTGTTATTATTATCATCATAATTATCATTATTGTCATTATTATTATTATCATTGTTATATATTCTTTCCATTATTAAAGTGTTCTTATCTCAACCCATGAGTTTTCTCACTTGTACCCTTCCAATTCTCTCCATCTTTTGAGGAGCAGTGAGCCAGCAGCTGGTGTGGGGTTAAACCATAACACACTGTTTCACAACAGCTGTATTCCTTATTAGCTGTGATTCTTGGGACACCACTGGACTGCAGAAGGAACACCAAGAATGAATTTTTATTTGCTTATCTTACTTTGAAGGTGATTTATCAAATAGGTGGAGAAAGTCAGCATGAGTAACCAACAGATTTTCCATAAACATGACATTTTTTAAAAAAGGAACTGTGGGGTATATTTACAGCTATTGACTCAGTTCTGCTCTACTTCTACTGTATTCATTGCTGTAATATCAGGATGTCCTATAAGTGACTGGATATATAATGTTGTATTTCTGTTCTGAAAAACACTTGGATAAGTGATAGCCCTACAATACTTCTTTCCTATGTAACATAAATCTTAATGATTAGATGACTAAAATATTGGCTCTTACAAACTAGGAACAAACCCAAGCTACCCATGATGCATACAGTTTGCTCCCGTTGCTTTCAGCAAAACTGCAGTTTAAGACAATAGCTTTATAAATCATTCTAATAGCCCTGCCTATGTAAAAATGTCTTCATGGTAAGTGGCGTCTGTGCTTACTACCACAATCAATAAAAAGGGCAGCTGAACTCTACAGCAGCCATTTGGAAATTAGGGAAAATCTTGATTAGATTTTGGTTATTTGTGCCGTATATTCCCTAGTGATAGCAAATAAGGTATTCCAAACTCTTAATAGAGAGAAAGTAGCCCATATCTTGTTTGTTTGGAAAAAAAGGCTCTGCCTTCTATTATTTGTATGACATCATGAAGAAAAAGTCAGGATATTAAAGTGGAGAATCAAATCAGTAGTCCATCCCTCTACAGCCTGTCTCCAGCAAAGGCCCAGGCCTGATATCACAAAGGAAGGCATAAGATGTCACTCAGAGCCAGTCTTGCAATAATCTGCTTAGGGAGGAAGTTTCTGGCTGTTTTCAGAGAATTAAATGATGTTGTGAAACATGGAGTCAAAAATAGTTTGGGTTGTTTTGGTTTCTTTCCATACAGATGATGTTTTATTGTGCGTGAATGTGTATCCTGCTAAGCCTCCCATGTCAGTGCTGCCCTGGGGCAATGAGTCCCACAGAGTAATCTGCAGAACGATTTGTTATTTATCACTGTCTCAGAGCAAACAGTTCCCAGTCTTTTACTCTCTGTTCTTGAGGAAGCATATGCTTTCTCGAAGCCTTCGTGCTCACTCTTGATTCTACCTCCTCCAGTGGTTGCTGTTGTTAGTGTGGCAGGAGCAGGAAGGAGAAGAGCACTTAACCTGAGTGCATGTGCCACAAAACAACACAGAGGCTGTTTAGTTCCCTCTCTGCCTTACTACAACACAGTATATTCTCTCCTGTTTTTGCTACTGTAAACAGTAAACCTGACTGACAATAGGAGAGCTGTTAGAGCTGCAAGATCAATTAGGATATTGTGAGCAAGGATTTACTAAACTAAAGCAATCTCTTGACAAAGCACTTTGCCATTGATCACACCAATTTGCCAAAGCAGTTATTTTCCAAGTATGCTGGAAGTGGAGAGGGGCTCCCTGCAGCCTCTGCTGTCCCATGAAGATGTTAGTTTGGGAGCCTCACCTCTGGGACAGGAGACCCAGTCCCACAGTCCCTGTCCCTCATGGTTCAGATCTGTGACTTGCAACCTTAAATCAGATACAGGTTCTGGTTTTCCCAAGAAAAAACAGGAAACACCTGACACTGGATGGGAGTGGGAGCTTTGCCTGCCTCTGGGTCTCATCTGACCACCTTGGCACCTCACCAGTGAATGTGTGAACATGACATCTCTTCAGCCCCACGGCTTTGGAGAGCTACTGGCACAGAAAAGGATGTTCCCTGGCTACAGGTGAAACAGCAGGAGCATTGGAGAGGGTAAAGAAGAGGAGCAGGAGCAGGAGCAGGAGTAGGGAGGGTGGGTGGGATGGGACAGAGAACAAGACAGCAGTGGGAGAGAAGGAAAAAGGTAAGGAGGCATTATTGGGAACAGAGGGGAGATAGCCCAAGAGGTCCTGGAAGCCCCTAGCAGCACCTGGATCATCTCCCTCCATGATCCTGTCTAAATTTTGCCCCATGCAGGTGAAGCAATGGCTGTCACTTGATTATCTTGGAGCAAGCTGAAAATGTAGCAGGATTTGGCCATTTATTCTTGCTCCTGGCTCTGCATGAGGTTTGCAATCAGCTGTTAACGTCTGTCCCCTCACATAATTTATTCCTCTCTCCTGTTATTGTGATTACAAGGAGCTCTGAGTTTGTCCTGCCCTCCTTGGGTAGCTCAGCTACAGCGAAGTCTCCTCATGTGCAGCAAATAAAGCACATTCAGGAATACCACAAAGCCTTCTCTGCCTTTCCCCTTTAGCATTTCCAGGGTGGAATTAAATCATTCCCCACAAGGAGGAGGCTTTGCACACAAGAGTGGCAGGGCAGAGATGGGGTTTTCTGTCAAGCTGACAGACAGGAGCCTGCCACCAGCTACCCCAGCACTTCAAATCCTTCAGCACAAAGACAGGGATGGCAGGACACACTGCACCATGGAAAGGGGAGTAGGGAAATACAGGCGTGCACTTTGAAAGCACAGCCAAAACCCATACCATGTTTCTACTTGGGACAGACTGCTCCATCCCCAGGTGGATTGTCGTCTGGGCCAGAGCACATTGGGGATCATGAGGGAATTTAGGCTTTTCTAGGGGGTGCATCATCCAGCAGTGTGAAGCTGCTAGCAAGGGACAAGAAGCATCATGTAAAACAGATATCTGAGGATCTGGGATTGCTTTACGATGAGAAAGAGTTCCTCAGAGATGTTAAAAGGTTCAGCAGAGAACCCCTACCTGATTTGGTGCAGACACAAGTCATTATCACCCACATCTGGGGAGTGCAACTGCAGCACCTGTTGAAGAGGCTTGATTTGCCCGCATCAGCTGTTCTGAGCAGTATTTGTGTGCATGTGATTGATTCAGCTGTTCATTGAGACAGCAAGGCCATGGCCCTTCACATCTTAAAATAGGAGGCTGAAGTTCCTCCAGGTGTTAGGCTTGTTTCTGAGGGACACTTGTCCTAACCTGGTGCAGCCATAGAGACCGCCAGCTGTGCATCTTGGTGCCTGGCCCAGGCAGGCTGGGTGCTCAGCAGCACCAACTCTGGAGGGAGCCCACAGGAAAAGATTTGGGTTTTAGCATACAAATCTGCCCTTGGGCAGGTTGAACTAACATGAAAATGTACTTAACGTGCCAGATGCCACCAGTGCTCCCCTGGACCCTGCCAGCCAAATGCAGCCACTGATGGGGATGCTCCTGTAACACTTCTTGCTGAGGGTTCATCCTCCACAGTGAAGCAAATGCAGCCAGCCACGGCTTTTAGGCCAGCATATATAACCTGCTTTCCTGTTTTCAAAGGTTTTCCATCTGCACAGCACCTCTGGTGGCTAAGGAGGTTGCGAATCCCTCTAAGACAAGCTGTGGAGCTATCCCTGAGCACTTGCATTCCCTCACTCTGACAGGATGCACAGGCAAGCAAACAAAAGGAAAGAAAGCATTTTTGCTCAGACAGGGAATATAACTCTAAATATGATTCAGCTGCGAGGAGAATGGTTCCCTGACAGGATCCTTCAGTCTATAGTATTTGCTGTGCCATTTCACATGAAACAAAAATTCTCAGCAACATATAATTTCCTTTTCTTTATGCAAAATCCCATGTCTCTCCTGAAGAGAATCTTTTGGTAGCAGCTCTGCCATTGTTTGCAGGATAAAGCCCATTCACTGTGCATTATATTCACCCACAATTTCCTCTTCTGGGGGTCATCTGGCTTTCAGGAGCACTCTTTCTACCTGCCTGGAGGCAGCATATGATTACCCATGGGGATGTCTGAGAGCAGAGCATTGCTGCCAAGTGCTGTACAGATCCTGCTAACCAAGGCTGCCCTCTGCCTCCCCGGGCTCTGCAGCACAGCACTGCTGCACCCCACACCTGTGCCACTGCTGGGCACTGGCTCTGGGGAGCATGGGGTGCCCCCCTGCCAGGGCTATGGAAGAGGCTTCCTCTGGCCCACGGCAGGCCAGTGAATGTGCACTCCTGGAAACCTGCTCAATGGGGACTGACTTGTGCTCCTCTGCCTCTCGCTGGACTTGCACCTTTGGTGGCTCAGTGGATCAGGCCCTGCATCTACTCCATGGCAGGCCTCTTCCCTTAGCTGGGATGTCTCAAGTTTGAGGATGAGCTGACTAACTGAGCCTAAACTGCTGGGGTTTGACTGAAGATGAGGAGGGCTGAATGTGAATTAGGCCACTCACGTGTCTCATTATGCATTCACCTCTTACATCAGCATTCCAATTAATAAGGCTGTACAGAAACCTCTTATTACGAGGAGAAGAAAACTGGGCCTTTAACATTCGTCCACTGTTTACACAGAGTTGTTAAGTCTAATGAGAAATTAAATTATTTTGTTATTGGAGTAATGCATAATACATTCATTTACAATAGCCTGCAAAAAGAAGACTTTACAGAATTAACTATGACATGTATAAGGAGATGCTATGAGACTGTAACTTAAAAGGATGATCAGCTCATTAAAACCTCAGCATGGTGGTTCCATCTGCAGACCATTCTAGAGGCTGTATTGTCTTATTTGCATCACTCATGTTAAGCTATCCTTACCATTATTCATTGTACTATTCCCAAAAGCAGCTGGCAGGAGTGCACCTTGCTTGGGACTCTCTTCCTAAGTAGCATTACACAGTAGAGATGTGTTGATGAAAGGGGATATTATGACACCTGCTGACATTTATTAGTGAGGGGAGCTTTTGCTGATGTTGAAGCACCAGCTTGAGAATACAAATGGTATTTTTGCAGAGGGGCAATGCCATTCACTGACAATGGTGGAAGTTATGGCCTCTGTGGCTTTGAGCTTTAGTCATCTAGACCTGCCTATTGGAGAGAGTCAGGAGATTTGGTGCTCAATTCCTGACACCTCAAATTTTAGAATTCATAATTCAGTGCTTTGATGACTTGAATCTACCAGCTTCTCAAGCCATGGTTTTGTAGCCTTAAAAGTTATTTGACTTGCTGAATATCCTTTTATACACATATGTAGATGATTGTTATCCAGGTACATACTCCTATTAATAATGAATGTCCTTCAGGGACAAGGCATAAATCTGCATTTATATCACATCCAGTTTGCTTCTGACTCCCTTGTCTCACAGACCCAAGCACTAGCATGTGAGGAAACAGTGCTTGCCCCATGACACCTAATTTCTACAAAAAGCAATATGAATCACGTCTAGTACTCACAGCACGGTGCCAGTGCTTTTCCTCTTGACTGTGAAGTGCGTGGAGTCCTCTGAGAATTCCACCTCATAGTTGGCTTCCTCGGGGGTAACCCCAGGACCATCGATCTTGAGTGGGACTTCAAACCTCTGCTTGTTGGGGTCGTAGATCTAAAGCAAGGTGAGGTGAGAAGCGAGCAGGTTAACTCACTACTCAGCATGCATTGCTTTGGTTAAATTATTCCAACCCCTCAAATGCTCACCCTGAACCGGAGTCTGTCCTTTGTCTGGAACTCCACTTCCAACACGATCGGGGAAATGTCATTTCCAAAGAGCGACAAGGACTGGCGTTTGTTCAGCGTGACCCTGCCGTGGAAACACCGATCACTGCCTGAGACCACCCTGGGGAGGGCTGGGGTAACAACCAAACTACTCTGTCAGCTCTTTCAAAATAAGTCGTTATTTCATTGTCAAGAGAAGATATCCCTGAGGTCAGCCTAGGCTCTCCCTGATGTTAATGGATAAAACAGGTGCCACCAAAGCAAGGAGACCTCAGAGTCTTCTGGGACACAGCTCCCAGGGTGGGAGGGACCAGCCTGTGGCCCTGCCAGACTTCCTCACCAGCAGTGTGGTGAGAGCACAGAGTCCCAGTTCCACGGCATATGCACAGGGAAACGTGCCCATCGCCCTCCTTGTCACAAGCTGAGCATGAGTATCAGAGAATCTTGGACGAGTCTTCAGCGAGAGCCCCCGGGGCGGTGGCGGTGGTTGTGCGGCAGGGCCAGCCGGCAGCACCCAAGGAGCCGCACACACTCACCTCCAGCCTTTGTCTGTCTGCTCAGTGTTCCCAGACCGGGAGTAGCCGTAGGGACTGTCCTCAGGGAAGAAGCACCAGGGAGCGTTGGGCACATCGGTGCTGCACCAGGTGCAGCCCCGCGCCTCGCAGGCCTCCTGGGACGCGCCCGGCTGGGGGTGGCAGTCGATGCGCTGCTTCACTGCAACAGCCCCGGGGCACTGCGCATCCTGGCTGGAGCCGAGGCACCCGCCTAGGGCTGGACACGGGGAAAAGCAGACAGAGCAGCAGAGAAACACGTTAAAAAACCCTCTCAGAGCAATACAAACTTCTTTAGTTCTTTTTTTTTTTTTTTAATGTGCTTTTCCCCCATTTTAGGGCCAGCACCCATGGTCCCTTGGACTAAGATGACAGCAGAGCAGCCTGCTCGTGACAGAGCAAGAGCAACAGCCACTTTCTTTTACAAGCTGAGGCAGTGGGTCTGTATTATTCAGCTCTCAAAGCTGCTTGCGCTCAGCTAAAGCACGACTTGCTTGAAATACTCATGGAAAGTTAAATAAATAATAGAAGCTGCTGGTGAGGCGTGAGAGCAACACAGCAGGCTGGCTGAACAGGAGGGATGCTTTGATAAGGACTGCTATCAACATTAAAATGTTACATTTTCTGTATATTTATTCTTGTGTTATACACAGAGGTTATCTATCTTTAGAGATACAAATATGTGATATCAGCACGCACTTGTATGATATAAATAGAAAAATACTGATTATATATATATGTTTGCATTGTGTTTCTTTTCTATATTGTATGATTATGATACATATGCAGTATTAGTAGTTTGTGTTAATACATTAGGGCTACAAGTAAAGGGGAGATGCCAGCAGTAAAAGAAAAGGCACATATTAGTCATTTGCAGAATCATCCTGAAAAAAACCTTAATAAGGTGCTAAATCTTTTTTACAGCTGAAGGTCGAGCCCTGTAGTTCCTCTGCATGTTGTGAACCTCTCAAGAGCAGGGGGACCACAAGACCAGCTCCCTGCCATGCTGACAAACTGCTGTTAGCACATATTCTCAGAGAGAGCAGGCATACTTCAGGCAGCATTCTTACTTTGAAGCTAATTTATGTCATTTTAGTCATTACGGCAATATTCAAAGATTAAATCTACTTGAACGATAATTGCTCTTTTCTATAAAATGACTAATACCTCTGCTTTAATTTTTTTTTTTTCCATGTGGACTGTTGTGTGCTTGAAAGCCTAAAACATGATTGCTGATGCAGTCTGGGCTTCTCCATAGAATGAACTTTATAAGCAGATGTGCACAAGCAATAATTATATATACTGGGAAAATTTACAGAATAAAACAGTAGATTCACTAGAGAATGCCATCATGCTGCAATGCCAGAGTTGATTTCCAAGTGGGGGATGAGAATGCTGAAAAGCAGGAGCTGAGTGCCATCTACATTTTTCTTTTGAGAAAACTCTCATCCCCCCTTCTATACAGGAACATCTGACACACAGGTCTGATGCTCCCAGGATGCTCAGCAGAGCTCGCTACTCACTGCCACAGCACCTCGTATCATTTTCTTGAGGTAGGAATTAACAGGAATTATCTGGCTGAATACCTTTACCAGCTGCTTGGCAGGCAGGACTGGCTTCCACCTCTGTTTTCTGGGGCAGAGTGTGATGTCCCCCACAGGCTGACTGCTCTCTGTCCAGAATTCACCCCTCATGATCTGTCACACAGGAAAGCTCTAAATTCTGGTCCTCTTTTTCACCTAAAGCATAATAGGACTATGAGCATCCTTCTGCAATCCCTAAATTATTTCTTCTTGGGGCGCAAAATAAACTAAATCCATCACATTTCATTTCACTTTGGGGTGTGTTTTCCAGTGTGAGTCAAACGCAGCATCAGCATTTTCACTGCTGAAATCAAAGAGTATGACTGAACATACTATAGCAGATTATTAATGTGGCATCATTTTACATAGCATAGGTTTGTGGGAGACTTTTATGAACTCATTTGTATTGTAAAATACTTTCAAAATACTTCTTATGAAGGATATTTTGAATGCAAAAGCTAGTTCAAAGGAAGAAATATCACCCCAGCAGAAGCTAGAAAGTTTATTTACGGTTTTTTTTCTCTCATTAATGCAAAGTTTACATTTTCCAGCAAATTTTAAAAACAAACACTTGCAGGTATAAGCAGCTGAACAAGGCTGCAATCTCATTTATCCCTTGTTCCTGGATTTACTTCTATTGTAGTACAAACGTGACAGTAGCAACTGGGAAGATGTAATTTTCTTTCCCTACTTTTTAAAATAATTTAAAAAATCTCTGCATCATTTTCACTGTATTTATGGCCCATGCCTGTAAACGTACATAGGAGATCCAAACAAGCAGTTGAATATATAGAAACAGCTATGGCTACTTGCTGCTTTTTCACGATAATTTCCATGGGAACAGAGGCTAAAGCAAGGTAATTGAAAAGATATACAAGAAAAACATTCCTCATTGATTTTTTTAAAAATCTTGACTTCAATTTTGCAAAATTAAGATTAAAATTAAGGTATAAGGAAGGAATTAAAGTATTACCACATGGTTTTTAATGTAATAGCATTAGTCTTTATATTTTCGGTTCATCCGTCTGTTTCAAAGGCACTTTCAGGAGCTGAATGATCCCACTGAGCCCTGTGTGCCTGTGCTGGTGCCCAAGAGCTGAATACACTGTAGGACTGGGGTATGTTTCTAAACAAGCCAGCTCTATTGTCCTCCCATAGTCACCTCAGGTCGAGTCAGTGCCATGACAGTTCTCTCCTTTTACATGGAACACGATCACCTCCTCTAATGGTCTTTTGTTGCTACCACACGTATATTTTGCTTTTGAAGCCTATGACAAAATACAAGTGCCGTATATTTACCTGCGAGTACAACGGCCAAGAAACACAGGCTCCTCATCCTTGCTGTGGTCGAAGGAGGACTTCTGCAGGCAGTCTAGAGCCTTTTATACAAAGCAGGGGCACATCAAGCACTGTTTCCCATACACAATCAGAAACACTGCAAATATTTTCTCAACATTCGTATCTTTCATGTGATTAATTGTAACACATGACCTTGCCGGTATTTAAGAACATGACCTTACCTGTATTTAAGAATGTGTCTAAGCAGATGAGATGTAGTCAGTAATTTGCCCAGAAATCTTGCTCAGCTTCTGAATTCCAACTTTGAGAGAGAACATGATTTTCCCATGACTTCTTAGATAATTAATTTTTCAGAGACCACCCTCTTTTTTTTTTTTTTTTTTGAAACAAACATCTTCAGACAATGAGAGTCTAGTGCTCACCTTTTTCTGATTTCATATTATCTTCTGTCACATATGTGGTTTTACAGTAAAAATTATGTTTGGAGAAAAACAAACAGTCAAAGAATTCTCCATTAAAACAAGACACTTGATACTGTGACCTTTACAAAATGACATTTTTCTTCCAATTACTTGATGGCAAGAGCCTTCAGAGTAAAGCTGTGTTCTATGGTAAGACCTGGTTTAGTTGAAAATTACAATATTCATATGAATCTCAGACACACACTAAAAAAGCCCACAACTACCCAGAGTTTCCTGATGACAGCCCCAAAACCAGGTGTCACCACACTGTTGCAATCATTTGTGTATCTTGGCACAACACAATGGGTGGGTTTTACCCACTGGGCCAAGGGGAACAGGGACCGTCCACCAGGCACAAAAACGACTCCCACGTGAGTCTTGTGTGTAAATCCACTCTTCACTGGAATTTCTGCTCAAAGTTGTGATATAGACCCAAATGGTTTGTGTGTACACCCTCTGAGTGGCCAAAAAGCATGATAGACCAACACTGACTGGTATTGCTGCTGTTTATTTTAACTAACTTGTGCATTGTTTCTTAACAATATATATCGTTCATTACCCATTTCTGCCAAAACTTGGAATACATTGTTAACCTCAAAGAACAAGCAGTACTTTCATCTCCTTTCAGGCAAAGGAGAATAATTCCTCCAAGATCAGTAAAAGTCAATAAAACTTTTCTTTGTTTGACAGACCATATGTAGTAAGGTAAGAAGTGTCATCTCATAGGAACAGGGACCAGCTGCTTCATTTTCAGTTTGTACCATACTTAGTGTGAGGGAATCCCACTAGGGCTCCTAAGTACTAGTAAAATACAAATAATGGCCAACGAGAAGACAGATGTGGGATACCAAAACAACCTATGGGCTATATTACTCAGCAAGCCACTCTATTGCATTGTGTAAAATTGTGCTTTTTACATTCAAGACCTTTGCAGAGGAAATGAATTTTTTATAAGGAAGTATGATGAAAAAGGCAAAAAAGTAGTTCACATTCACATCTTTATTTGTTACCTACACAAGCTATAATTTACAGACTGGTATTTTCTGAAAAATAAAAACAAATCAACCAAAAACCTCAATATCCAAACACTGTATCTGAATCTACATAAAACTTCAAAATTTGCAGAATTTACAAATTAATATTCAGAGCAGTTGGGTAAATTATACATCCTCCCTCAATATCCATGCTCCAAGAGCTTTAAGAGTCATACAGGCACAAGATAAGATATTTTCTTTATACAACCATCTATTTACATAGCTTTTTCCAATACACGTGGTTCAGTTCTCAAAGTAACTGCCAAGGTTTGCAAAACAGTGTATTTAAAATACATTTAGCAGCATATAAAATTAGATAAAAAGGAAAGACAATTTGCTTTAAAAAAAGAAAATGTGAGATGATAGAAACAAATTCATAAGAAAAATAGATTAAGATATATTTGTCATGACCTTAAGAACACCTAGTCATTGCAGAACATAGGCAAAACACAAATAAAACATACCAATTTGTGAGTATTTGAGTTCTAGTCCTGAGCATAGAGATACACAGCTGCACAACTTTGGTCAACACAGATTATATGCTAACATTACACAAATCATATGGCATTTGCTGTTAGCAGGATACAGCCATGTCAGAGAGATGTATCATTAACAGCTTCTTCCCATCTATTATTCACTCCACTTTCATAACAACAGTGTAAGTGACCTTTAGAATCTTGAAACTGCCTCTCATAATCAAAGGCTGATTACTGGGATGCCATCCTTCCCTGCTACCCTAAAATGCAAACCAGCCGATCATACTTGTGAGTGAAATACAGCAGAGCACTTTTGTTATATATTCCAAGTTATAATTTTGAGATGGTCATTAGAATTCCAGTTAATTTAAACTGCAAGTATTACATATGCACACAAATTCAGCCATAATATATAGAGATACATATGTGACTGTTGAGACAGGAGCGTGTTACCAAGAGGTTATTAAATACAGTACATATTTTAAGGACAGCAGGTCTAGTAGAAGAGTTCACACATTGTCAGTTTGTTCCAATCATCAGTGTTTACCTAATAAACATGCAGCAAACTGCATAGAGTGCACCTCAAATTGATCAATATATTCATTTATACCCATAATTTCAATTACTGGCAAGATCTTCACTTGCATCTCCTGTATCTGAAATCTGTCCGTCTATTATATTTCGAGCTTTCCAGATCCTCACAGTCCGGTCACTGAAAACCAAAACAAAGCAATATTAGTGCTAGTTAATTAGGCTGGGGAAGGAGAGAGAGACTGGGGAGGGGGGGAGGGGAAGCTTCCTTAAAAGTTCGGGTGCCTTATTCAGAAAGGTACTGTTGGCAAAATAACATTTCTTTAATGGATATGCAAGGGTTACTCCACCTCCAGGAGACTTTATAATCTAAGATGTACAACATTTAAGATTCCCTAACCTTATCACAGCATTGGCTATTACCTTTAACCATCTAGGAAAGTATAAAGATTACACATCTAAGGAAAGTAAAATCCTACTCTCCTATTACCTAATTTTCTAAAATACAGGCAATGGTGATAGGTTCAGGTAGACTGACATCAGGGAAGAGCTTCCATCATGTAGCTATTTGCAACACAGCAGACCACAGGCAAACAGCCACTGTGCTACAGAATCAGAGACAGACTCAATAGGACAGGACTAATTCCTGTCAACAAACCCAAACCCCTTTCTGAGGTGCTGGAAAGCATAAACCTGTGAGTTGGTGTTTAGGAGCCCAGGAGAGGCAATCTGTAATTCGGTACTTTTGAAAACAATCACTATTTCCACAATTTTAAAGTATGTGTAAGTAAAATATCACGTGGAATGTGTTACAAAGCTCTACTATCATAATTAAAGTAAAACAAATAGCAATTTATTCTGTGAAAGGGATGTTATGAACTTCTCATAAAAACTGAGTGACTAGCAACCCACAAAAGAAGCCAGCAGGCAGGGCAGACTTTGTGACAGTTTTAAGTGTTTTCTGACTTGTTCCTTCATTTCACTGTAAATTGCCAGAAATAGTCTAAGTTTTATAAGCCTTAAGCACATTGTTACAAGTGCCAAAAGGCTGTAATTTTTTTTAATGGTAAAAATAGAATAAATTTCAGATGCATGTATGTTCTAAACTTATTAATAATCTTTAGGCAAACAGAGACATAAGCTTTGACATCTCTACCCCTATTAGTGCTTAAACATAAAAATTGACCACCAAAAATGACAACTTGGTAACTTCAAAATCCTGTTATGGTTCTGAAAGATCTGCTTTTAATTCAGAAGGCCAGAAGCTTCCACACAACTGGCTCTTTCTTGGTCAAGTCCCTTGAGGTTTCAGGTCCTCAATTTGCTCACTTTTACTGAGGAAACAAATATTCATATCAAGGTGTTTAAAGTACAGCAGGATGGCTTGCAAAGCTTCTGCTATATGTCAACACTTAAAAACAAACCAACCAACCAACCAACAACCAACCACGTACCATGGCTTTTAGAAAAATCCACCCAGGTCAGGAATGAGTCCTAACAGGAAACAGCCCAACTGAGAGACAAGCTGATAAAATTCCAACTATTGCCAAATTCTCCCTGCCATCCTGTAGGTTCGTGATATCCAAACCTTTTTGATCATGCACCCCTACCACTAAAAATTTTTTGAGCTCACATTGCCATGTGTATTTATTAATTTATACACGTACATACATGTACTACTGAATTCAAATAATTCCTGCCAGCACCCCACAGGATCATGTTGTGCACCCCTTGGGTGCATGCACACCACTCTGGAGACAGCTGTGATAGATTATTAGCTTTGAGGGGCATGGACTGGATCAGCTCTCCCAATCCTTGCTATTACACAACTGAAAGTGTTCTAAATGCATTTGGACGTACAGATTTCTAAAAAGAAAGATTCTTGGAGAATAACTCACTCTGCTGCTGTGAAAATCTGGCTGGAGTTGGTGCAGATGGCATTTATGGGGCTGTCGTGTCCCTTCATCTCCCCAATGGATGCGAAGGTATCCACGTTCCAAAGCTTGAGGATGCCTCCTCTGCAGCCGCTGAGCAGAACTGGAGCCTCAGGTATGAGGCCAAGAGCACACACCCAGTCCTTATGAGCATTAGGAACTTGCTGAAAAAGAGAAGGCAGGCAAGTCTCACAGGGCTGCAAAAACTTCTGGGGAACAAACAGAAAAGTAAGTCCAATTCCTGTCCTGCGGCAGTTCTGCTACGTGACTCTGGGTGTATCCCAGCCCTGGGGCTTCTCCACCTTTAGAGCAAGGACGGTGCTAACTTCCATAAGGCTACTTCTATACCATGAGTTTGTTTCTTTTTTGTGAAATAGTACTGCAAAACAAGAAGAATATCCAATATGTACAACTGACCTAATGTGGAACAGAAATCAGTTTACCATAATGATAAATCTGTGTATTTTAAAATGCATATTTGAATGCATTTTCAAACATATGGTCTCTGTATATGTTTCAAGTCTGTCTAAAACTGCAATAAACCACATAAATATAAAATCCAAAATACTGCTCAAAAATATATCAGGAAGACAGAAACTGT